CAGCAAATGTTCAATCCCTTGCATTCGCATCATTCTCTACTACAATATTCTGAAATTAAAAACAGTAATATGTTCTAGGAGTCCCTGAATGTACTTAAATAAAACAGGAGGCAGAATTAACAAAGGCATGCTTGTGATGGATGTAATATGATAGTTCTTTTAAATGCAGACCGCTTCACAGCTGTCAGAAGAAACCAGATACAGGTAGCAACATATGCACACAACAAAATAAAATAAAATAAAAAATACTCTGATATTTTATTTATTAGCTGATGGAAAAGCTAGCAAATAGAGAAATCGAAAATTTAAACTTGGCTACGATGAATTCACCTCAGCATTCTCTGATAACCAATGTCAGTGTTTAATGCTACAACAAAGGGTTTTGGTGGAGTATAACTCACACTGTTCTGAAAGGAACACCATAACAACCCTTGCTACTTGCATAGCATACAGTTGTGCTCAAAAGTTTGCATACCCTTGGAGAATTGGTCATATATCTACCAATTGTAAATAAAACATGAGTTAGCAGGCAAAACACTTTTTAAAAAAAAATTTCTTATAGGATTCATATTCAACTGTAGATTATAACAGAATGGCAGAATCATAAAACAAAACATGACAACAAAGTAAAAAAATTAACCCTTAGTCCTCTTTAGCATCAATGACAGCGTGCAGTAATAGTTGACTATGAGACCCCTAATTCTTGCTACCCATTCATCTTGGCAAAATGCCTCCAAGTCATGCAAAGTCTTTGGTCATCTTGCATAAACCGCACGTTTGAGATCTCCCCAGAGTGGCTCAATCATTTTAAGGTCCAGAACCTTCAACTTTTCCTGCTGTAACCACTGGAGGGTCAACTCGGACTTGTGATTAGGGTCATTGTCATGCTGGAAAGTCCAAGAGAGTCCCATGTGCAGTAGGGATGTGCATGGTAAAAATATATTCGATTCAGCATTCCGAAATTCAGGACTTCAACTATTCGGTTCGGCACTTTGGGTAAGTGTAGGGTTAGGGTATCGTTAGGATTAGAGATAGGGTTAGGGTACAGTTAAGGGTAGGGTTGGTTTAGGAGTAGGGTTAGAGGTATGGGTTAGGGTAGGGTTAAGAATAGGGTTAACCTACCCCAACCCTTAACCCAACCCTAAACCTAGCAGCCTATATTTCTCCTGAGATTACCTGTGGGTTTTTCTTTGTATCTCGAACAATTCTTCTGGCAGTTGGGGCTGAAATCTTTCTTGGTCTACCTGACCTTGGCTTGGCATCAAGAGATCCCCAAATTTTCCAGTTCTTAATAAGTGATTGAACAGAATTGAGAAGAATTTTCAAGGCTTTGGATATCTATTTATATCCTTTTCCATCTTTATAAAGTTCCATTACCTTGTTACGTAGGTCTTTTGACAGTTCTTTTCTGCTCCCCATGGGTCAATATGTAGCATGCTCAGTGCATCCACATAAGAGCTAACAAACTCATTGACTATGTATACACAGACACTAATTGCAATTTAAAAAGGTGTGGAAAATGAACCTTTTAATTTGCATCTGAACCTGTGTGTGTCACCTTGTGTGTTTGTTACAAGGCCAAACATTCAAGGGTATGTAAACTTTTGATCATGGCCATTTGGGTGATTTCAGATAACATTAGGATTTAAAAAGGAGCCAAACAACTATGTGATAATAAATGGCTTCATATGAACACTATCCTTCAATAAAATATTTTTTTTTGCATGATCAGTCATATTTTAAAAATCAATGCCAAAATTTTACAATTTCTGTCAGGGTATGCAAACTTTTGAGCAGAACTGTATGTTATGATATAAGGAGGTCCTCTGTCAGGCAGTCCTCCCCCAAGCGGATCGCGGTGGAGGTAACGCTGACCTCCGTGCTGCCGCAACGGCTTTAAAGCCCATTATAATGGGGACGGCACAGAACGGTGTGAAGGGGTTAATAAGTATTTAATAATTATTTTTGTTATTGGTGTTAAAGGAATATTAAGTACAAAAATCACTTCCTTTTAATACAGTGGTGTCGATGCATAAATGCTGACAATGTAATTTCTTTTAAATGGCAAGGTTTACACTTGCATGAAAACACTTCTCTAGTTGCTGTCAGACAGGCAGCCACTAGGAGTGCTTTCTCATTATGACTTTTGCTTTGCGAAGGTTTTCGTATTCAACGTCACATAGCTTGAAAACACTAAACTCACTTAATCCTTTTGATAGATAACCAATGGATGGTGAATTGCGGTAATTACTGAGCATGTGCAGTAGGCCCACAAGGTTTCTCTATGAGAAGCACTGGTTTGGACCTATCATCATGATTGAGTGAGCTGAATTCAAAAAAGAAAATAAAGGCAGTGCTACCAGATGCAATAGTGCTTCAAGTGGTTTATTGAAGGACACAGATAGCAAACAATCCTTTCGGGTTGGCTCTTTCTCAATACATAATGTCCTTCAAGTAGTGGATCAGGCTGCAGTGAGGAGTCTGACCCAGCGCTGGACTATAAGATTTTTATTTTTTATTTTTTTTTAAATAAACATAGGATCCAGTATAATAAATTACAAGTAGGCTTTTTAGCGCTTGTATAAAGCTGGAACTACCCGAACCAGAGTCTTCTTTCTGGTGATGGAAGGGTAGGTTCAAATCAATATGCAAGATAAAAGAAACAAGAGGCCCACGTACTATACCGTTGTGGTCCTCTTGTTTCTTTTATTTAACATATTGATTTAAACCTGGGGACCCCACCAAGGCCCTGCTACCCTTCCACCACTTATAGGGAGGTCCAGAAATCTACGCAAAAAGACAGGTACTAAAGTTAAAAATAAAGGGACACTCCAGACCCCTAAAGCACTTTAGCTTGCTAGAAAGCTTTATGTATAGCGTGTCCTCTTTTCTTTTTTTTGTTTTGCAGAAAGTGCAGATTTCAACAGAAATTGCCACTTTTATGACTTTACCTGGTTACATCCCCTTGGCTTTCAATCAGACATGTCCTGTTACTTCCTGGTTTGGTTAGCTCAGTGGAGCTAAACTCAAGACACCTCCCTTGGTAAACTCATCAGCTCCTTCGGCTTCTAATATCATTTCTGTGCGGATGACACGCAAATGTATCTGTCCTCTCCTGATCTCTCTCTCTGCCCCTCTTGACTCGTGTCTCTGACTACCTCTCAGCTATTTCCTACTGGATGGCTGCTAACGTCCATAAACTCAACCTGTCCAAAACAGAACTTCTAATCTTTCCACCCTCAAGTGTTGCTACTACCGTGTCAGTTTCCCTCCATGTCAACGGCGCTACCATCACATCTATCTCACAAGTCCCTACATTGGCTTCCCGTAAGATAGAGGGCTTAATTTAAGATTCTGGTACTCGTTTACAAGTCTCTACATAAAGCTGCTCCAACCTACCTATCCTCCCTAATACACAAGTACGTCCTGTCTTCTTAGAGTACAGAGAGTTGTCACTAATGGCAAGTAGAGATGTCGTGAACCGTCCGAACTTCTCGCAAACGGTTCGCGGCGAACTCCGGTCAGCTGACACATCCCGCCCAATCTCCAGCAGACCCTCCCACCTCCTGGACAGCATCCATGTTGAAGCTGCCTTCAACATGGATGCTGTCCAGGAAGTAGGAGGGTCTGCTGGAGATTGGCCAGGATGTGTCAGCTGACCGGAGTTCGCCGTGAACGGTTCGTGAGAAGTTCACAGACGGTTCGCAACATCTCTAATGGTAAGCTGGACAAAATTGGTCCTGTTTTGGGACCGCTTCAATTTAACAGATTTATAAATTATCTTGAAATATGAATTAAAATCCATGTTTCAGTGTTTGCAAATGACACAAAGTATCGTAAAGTAGTACAATGTAAGCAGGATGTTGCTTTGCTGCAGAGGGATTTAGATAGATTGGTGGACTGGGCATTAAATAGGCAGATGAAATTCAATGTAGAAAAATGCAAAGTTATGCACTTCGGGGTCAACAACTTACACCCTAATGGTAGTGAATTATGGATAAAAACATAAGAAGGATTTGGGAATTGTTATAGACAAACTAGGCAACAATATGCAATGTCATTTGGCAGTTGCTAAGGACAGTAATGTATTGTCATGTATAAAAAGGGGCATTGAATCTCAAATCACTGGTAAAACCATACCTTGAATATGCCGTACATTTTTAGGCACATATTTCAAAGAAGGATATTATGGCACTAGAAAAAATGCTGAGGCAGGTTACAAAATTGATAAAAAGAATGGAGCTTTTTAGTTATTGAGAGAGGTTAAAAAATTGAAATCTTTTTAGTGTGGAAAAACGGCACATCAGAGGGGGATATGATTGCATTATACAAACCATTGTGTGGAGATCTATTCATATAGAGTACTATATACAAGACACAAGATCATGCATTTAGACTGGAAGAAAGGTGATTTAGTCCAAGGCAAAGGAATTTTTTTTTTTTTTTTTTACAGTAAGAACAAGGGTGTGGAATTCTTTGCCTGTAGAGGTGGTTTTATCACAGTCTATACTGATCTTTATAAAGCAATTGGATAAATACTTGCAAAAACATAATATTCAGGAAAGAAAACAGATGCGAAGAAGGCTGAACTTTGTCTTCAGCTTTGTAAATCTAGAACCGAATCCTTCAGCCATATAAATGCACCTTGGTTCAGGAAGTGTTTGGAAATCTCTAAATCTTCCTGGCTTTACTGACTTGCATACCGCAGTGACATCAGACCGACACTGTCAAAATTAAACACTGTCTGAGCCAAGTTATATCTATATGGCTGAATGATCCGGTCATATACGAACGGGATATATTTAAGGTATATACGAGTTTCTCATTTTTTATTTTTACATATAGTTCCTTTAACAAAGAATTAATTTCCTTTCAAAACTTTATGAAAGTATATTAATTCTTTGTTAAATTCTAAATAAAAGCCGTGCTGAGGTGACCGTTCGCCAGACGCTCTCAAAACACGCTGCACATTTTATCAGCATTGAACTCCACATATCTACCTCAGGTTGCGCAAATAAAAGTCTAGATGTCATATTAGATACATATATTGAGTGCCCCTACAGAAATAAAATGTGATAACAAGTAAAGGGTACATGACAAACAGTGTTCAGACCAAATTTATGTATGCTCACTTTCAAGATTACCACTGAATGGACGACAAGATCAATTTCAGGTAGGTACAGATTTTATTCATACATTATGAGAACATAACTGCCTGTGGACTTAAAATTATAAATGTACTGGCAAAATACATAGAATAATTTCTTACAAAGTGACACCAAGTAATACAGGTCATAAGTGTGGACTAAACTTGCTAGCATTTCTTTCATAAAACCTATACAGTAGCGTGCGTGTTCTTGTAGAAGTAATGTGCAAACAGTTGGAGCACAGACAACCCTTGTCAAAAAAAAATATATAAATTTAGTTTAGTTTTTTGGGGTGCTTTTGAAAGATTTATTTAGATTTCAGTACAGAACTTAACTTCTATCAGCTACTCCAAACATAGATGTCTCACGATGCCCCTTGTAGATGTCACTAAACTAATTATGTATCAGCTCTGCTTACTGAATTCTGGGGAAACCACATGAAAGAAGCATATACTACAATGCCGCTAGCCATCTGCATTCATTATGTGCATGATCAGCAGCAGCAAAATAGAACAGTATGCTCCTTAAAATCTGAGCGTTGTATGCAATTTGTATGGTGACTGCAATCAGCTCCTTGGATTTGTCAAACAATGCTAAAAAACAATGAAAGAAGCACTAAAGAGAGGGAGATTAAAAACCAAATCCTATATACATGATATAAATAAAGTGGAATTCCAAGGTTAAAATTTATCCATTATCATCGAAAATGGTTCTAAGATTTTCTTGACGGGAAGCCAAGCTATAAGGCTTTAGATGGCCCATTCGTCAATTGTAAAATTATCTCAATGATAAAATAGTGCACAGCAGCACACCACATCAACAACAGAGAAAGAGGCCGCCTTTGGACTTGCAAAAACCTGCTCCAAGGAAGTCCCTCAAACTCCGTGCTGACATACCAACTTACTGGTACGAGTTGGTATGTGAGCCTAGAAGTGGAACCCTGACTCACAGTTTTGAGGTGGAAGTATAAGCTCTGCTTTCAAGCTCTATTTTGACAAATATGTAAAGTGTAAGGCTGCAGAACTAGGATATCAGGAGTGCTCTCCCAGTGGAAGTAGTTAAACCGTTTAATAGTAGTTTGACAGTTTACCTAGGGTCCACAAAGTATCTGTTGCCACCACTGCTGGAGCTGGAAGCTCTGGCAAGGAGCTTCTGTTAGCTTGGCTGAGCTTTGCTGTGTCAGCTAAGCGCTCTCAAACAATGTGCACAGTTGAATCACCAGGCTTAGCTCAAAACAGGAGCTTCGTTTGCAGAGAAGGCGACGGCGGATGCCCAATAATACCCAGGTGAATTGTCAAAACATTATTAAAAGGTTTGACTAAGACTATAAGGACACCAAACCACTCCTAACAACATAACCACTACAGTGGGATGTAGCAATTTTGGTGCGTTTAAGAACTTGTAATACAGACAATGAATTTAAAGTAAAATACTTATATTTAAAGCCCCTGCATTTTCCACAGGATATGCAGTGAGCTCTTTCACAGTGCTAAGCTTATCCTCAAAATGTAGCAGGGCAGGGTTTTATGAACACTGCAAGGATGTTTGATGTCAGATGTAATTTAACAGTTGTCATTCTAGAATGGGAGCTACAACTAACAGGAATCTTTGCTGTACAGACTGTCACAAAAACGTAGCTTTACATTATTATTTTATTATTTATATAGCACCAGCAAAATTCTGTAGTTCCGCAGCACGATATCACACACAACTATATTATTGGAGCAAAAATGGAAACATGGCAGAATGGGTGGGGCAGAAACGGTGGACTTAAATGGACAGCCAGCTAACCAACCTATACCCTGCTCCTAACTCGTGTGGCAGCCTTGAATATCACTTTAAGTAAATAGTGAGTACATATTGTGAAGACCAAGCATATGGTCCACAAAAATAAAGTAAAAATGAACAAACTGTGAATTGATAATGCCACTTAATAAATATAAAAACAGCAAAGTCAAAAGAAAGAAAATAGTGTTTTATTAAACTACCACACTGTTATAATACACTTTAAACATACACTTTAAGGTAGCTTTTAAATTTGAGGTGGTCATAAGAATAACAGAGACCCAAACGAAGCTTGTAAATAAGTGAACTGTTGTAGGTGCTGCGGTTTTTATTTTACTACTTAGAAAAATGGTATAGCACTTACATACCTGTAATGTAACTTTGAAACTTTACACGTTTTCTATAGATGAAAATATAAACAATTATTAAAAAATAAAACGAAAATACAGCAACATAATAAAAAAACATATACATATTTATCAGGTAAATGTATTCGATACATACAATTCTTTTATTGGGTAGAAGCAAAAAAAGTTTGTTTAAATGCAGAGGAGTGGGGGGTGGGGGGCGTGGGGAGGGTCAGGTAGAAGAGGAAAGAGAAACAAAAATAAAAGCATTAATAAAAAAATAAAAATAAAAACACCCTTGTATAATTTCCCAAATCCCATGACAAGGTCTTGTATGCCCGGTATTGTCAATATGGAAATGCTCTAAATCATGTTTGCATATGCTATACTAGTTAATTTACAACAATGGGTTTTATACTTTCAGAGTACACAAGATTGAAATCAATATGTGCTAAATGACAAACAGTTCACTATTTTTTTGGTCCACCAGTGTTCAATAAAGTGGGTGCTTAATCATAACATTTATTTAAACCATTCAAAAATGCTTCAACCTACAAAATCTTTCAACATTGGCTATGGTTTTTTTCTCATGACGCAAAACAGATTTATTTATTTTTTACAAGATTTGGTTTGCAACTTAATCTTGCACATGGCTTTTCAACACGATCTAGACAGTGGCCGCTGCCATCGGCTCCATGTTAAAACTTTGTCGAAGAATTTTACAAGAGAAACGTTTAAAATGGTGTATACAGATTCACCTAATTAAAACGATTGGCTGTTAATTCATAAGTTGGTGAGTTATGGTAAAGCCGAACTGACGTATTTGCTGGGAAACGTGATTTGTCAGTTATGCATAATAAAAATTCCAGTCATCAAGAAAATTACAAAAATTTATCATAACATAATTTTTTTTTTTTAACCCATCAACTTTATTATCTTACAATAGATAAATACCAACATGTTCTTTATTTTTTTTATTTTTTGTAATTTTTTTGTTTTCTTTTTTTTTTTATACACTAAACCACACTGGATTGATGCATTTGGTTAGACTACCATTTCCATCTGTCAACATTATTTATACTTGTACGGATCATGGTAAAATTTCATCAGTTCTAGATTCCAAAAGTACCTACAAAAGCCATGCAATTTTACCATTGTATCATACTTAATGGAATAGCATACAAAGTAAGGCATTTCAGTGTCATGTATAACCAAGTAACTGTCAATCCAAAATGTTTGCACATCAATAAAAAGATATCTAAGAACTCAAGAACAAGGTTTTGTTTTCTCACTACTGTATAAAAATAACCACAATTAATAGGTGTCGTGTGATTTTTACTCCATTGTCTCATTTCCCGAAACTGTGACAAGTTGTAAAGGGATTTCCGAATTTGAGAGAAGATCTTGATTGCTGGTGCCAGTATTTACAGTTCCTAGGCCGGATACAGATCCCTGCTGAATATTTGCAAGGATAAGGGTTGTTCCTTCAGCAGAAATCAATGCATCTTCGGGCTTTGCTTCTATTGATGCCAGCACAGCACTGCTGGTATGAATGCCCTTCTTATTCTGATGGGTTTTAATATGTTTGGCAAGGTGATCACTTCGCATAAATCGTTTGGAACACTCAGGACAGACAAACTTCTTTTCACCTGTTGGATGACAAAAAATATATTTTAGTAAAGTTCCTTTAGGTTTGGAAAATGCCTATACACCTTACATGTTTTAATTTGAATTTAAAATGCATGTAAATGCATAACTTAGGATCTAATAAAATCACACGCTAGATATTTGCAAAAATGCGGATCGCCCAAAAATGAATTTCTCCAAAACACAATCCTTTCATTTCACACCTAAATGAATTGATTTGTCTGGAAAATGCAGGGTAAAAAGGATTTAGATTCTGACAAATCAATTTGTTTATGGACAAACTACATTTTACGCACACTATGCAACTTTAAAGATCATGACACCCATTATCCTTTAAAAACAATGCTCAGCAGTCAAGAACAGTTCATAGAAAACCCGGGTGCTATACCCCCATTTTCTATTAAATACACTGGGCCATACACAGATCTGGGCACATTTGTGCATTTTCATTATTTCCAAAGTTTCTTTCATCTGTTTCTGAACTTGTTGGTTGTGGATTTACAGTTACAAATACTGATCCCTCTCAGACATTATATTCCACCTTTAATCTCCAAAAAACGGATCTTGCTTCCCCAGTGTGTATGGATATTGTAAAAACCCCACAATTTAAACCGTCTGTACACCCCTCTCGTGTATTATAAAAACAATAAGGAAGTGACAGAGCATAGATACATTTCTCCTAAATAAAACCCTAAAAATGAAATCACTATTCTGCTCACCAACCATTACCATACTACCACTTGACATAACTATTCCAAATTTTACTTAACCAGGTGGAGGGCAGGTGGTTCCTGATAGCAATGCAGTTTCATCTTGTTTTCAGGGCAACAATAATATATTTTAAAGTATTTTAACGCAGCCAGCCTGTCATGCCCATAGTCACTATAAATCTTTTGAAAGAGCTTCCCATTGTCGATTGTTAAGTTGCATCATTGACGACACTAACTATGTCATAAATCTACCTGTGCTCAAAAATAAGGTATTTAAAATAAAAAGAGCTTAAAAATGCTATCTATACATTGTGTTGTACAGATTTGGATAAAACCCTATAAACCTTTACAGTATGACAAGTTACACTAACACTGCCTTATCAGATCAATGACACGAATCACTGAGCAGGTAAAACAGACACGGCAGTTGACAGTAAGATGGCTCATCATCCTGAATCTCATACTCTGATTGGCTGCTGACGTCACATGGTCTCACCAACTGCCACTGAACATTTGAAAGACTGATGCAATTAGTAGACACAACTACCTCCATAGAGAACCGTGCCAGAGGTAACCACAGCTACCTCCATAGAGAAACCGTGCCAGAGGTAACCACAGCTACCTCCATAGAGAACCGTGCCAGAGGTAACCACAGCTACCTCCATAGAGAAACCGTGCCAGAGGTAACCACAGCTACCTCCATAGAGAAACCGTGCCAAAGGTAACCACAGCTACCTCCATAGAGAAACCGTGCCAGAGGTAACCACAGCTACCTCCATAGAGAAACCGTGCCAGAGGTAACCACAGCTACCTCCATAGAGAAACCGTGCCAGAGGTAACCACAGCTACCTCCATAGAGAAACCGTACAGAGGTAACCACAGCTACCTCCATAGAGAAACCGTGCCAGAGGTAAACAGCTACCTCCAGCTACTCCATAGAGAAACCGTGCCAGAGGTAACCACAGCTACCTCCATAGAGAAACCGTGCCAGAGGTAACCACAGCCCTCCCAGAAAAGCGTGCCAGAGGTAACCACAGCTACCTCCATAGAGAAACCGTGCCAGAGTTAACCACAGCTACCTCCATAGAGAAACTGTAACCGTGCCAGAGTTAACCACAGCTACCTCCATAGAGAAACTGTAACCGTGCCAGAGTTAACCACAGCTACCTCCATAGAGAAACTGTAACCGTGCCAGAGTTAACCACAGCTACCTCCATAGAGAAACTGAAACCGTGCCAGAGGGAACCACAGCTACCTCCATAGAGAAACTGAAACCGTGCCAGAGGTAACCACAGCTACCTCCATAGAGAAACTGTAACCGTGCCAGAGTTAACCACAGCTACCTCCACAGAAAAAACGAAACCATGAAAGAAGTAACCACAGCTACCTCCATAGAGAAACCGTGCCAGAGGTAACCACAGCTACCTCCATAGAGAAACTGAAACCGTGCCAGAGGGAACCACAGCTACCTCCATAGAGAAACTGAAACCGTGCCAGAGGTAACCACAGCTACCTCCATAGAGAAACTGTAACCGTGCCAGAGTTAACCACAGCTACCTCCACAGAAAAAACGAAACCATGAAAGAAGTAACCACAGCTACCTCCATAGAGAAACCGTGCCAGAGGTAACCACAGCTACCTCCACAGAAAAAACGAAACCATGAAAGAGGTAACCACAGCTACCTCCATAGAGAAACCGTGCCAGAGGGAACCACAGCTACCTCCATAGAGAAACTGAAACCGTGCCAGAGGGAACCACAGCTACCTCCACAGAAAAACCAAAACCGTGCCAGAGGTAACCACAGCTACCTCCGCAGAAAAACCGTGCCAGAGGTAACCACAGCTACCTCCGCAGAAACACCGTGCCAGAGGTAACCACAGCTACCTCCGCAGAAACACCGTGCCAGAGGTAACCACAGCTACCTCCGCAGAAACACCGTGCCAGAGGTAACCACAGCTACCTCCGCAGAAAAACCGTGCCAGAGGTAACCACAGCTACCTCCGCAGAAAAACTGTGAAACCGTGCCAGAGGTAACCACAACTGCATGCAGTTTAGATTAATATTTTCTGTTTAAGTATGGGTTTTATTAAGATTCAATGTAAAGGAAACGTGATTCTTTTGTATTAGCACCTATCACTGCTTTCTGGTAGATAGCATAGATAACTAATTTTCTCCTGCTATTGAGATAATTTATCAATACTTTTGCGTTCTAAAAGTGTCAGCAAAATTAAAGTACAACCGTCACCAGAATTTTTCCTTTTTTTTTTATCATAAGAATCCTTACAGCATGTAAGGAAAAGTTCTGGTAATTTGTAAAATGAATTCTATGTAAAAAATACTTCAAAATGTGGCCCCTAGTTTCACAGAACACTCGAGCCCTCTGCCATGTTTATACACCTTTGGTCGGACCGAGGAAGAATCCGACCGTTAGGCTCCTGCTTCACTCCCTGCACAGAGTGGTGACATCATCAGCCATCGTCCTGTGTGCCCTTCCTAGGCGAAATTCTGACTACATTGGTAATTCCCATATTTACTAAAGGCAAATGCGGTCAGAATTTGGTAGGTTGAACCAATTCTGTAAATTCGGAAAAACAGTGATTTCTTCATCCAAACCAAATCTACAGCACCCTATCATTCACTTTCTATTTTCAAGTGAATGATAATTTAAGAACTATTTGCCTGCTGACAGTGCTAGCAGCCAGTGGGCAAATAGTTAAAACCCCTCATAGCGCAAGGCTTAATTATGTGCTGGCTGGTCATCGCTTGCTAGCCATCCACCACATAGAAAAAGTTACAAAAATGTAATAAAAATCCTATGTGGGTCAATAAGACCACTATATTGCTACAATGGAGGTATTTTACCTCCATATGCCCCCACCTGCCATACTAAACATTAAAACTAGCGACCGAACAGCCATTGCTGCCAGTCACTAGAAAAGAGGCCCACGCTCCCACCTATGAAACATGAAATACATAAACAAATGATGAAATTATTGCTTTGTGAAGTCTCTCAAATTTAATAGGTTACTCATATTTATAAAGCAATGTAAATAGGTTTATTTAACTAATATAACATACATATTCATGTATTTGCTTAATCAATCTTTTTTTAATACATATTTTGCTTAAACAGTTGACTCAAATGGTTAACTCAACTGTTAAAACAAGCTATTTAAAAAACCAAAAACAAACACATACAAGTCGGGACACTATAAACACTAAAACAACTTTAGATAAATGGAGTTGTGTTAGGTGCATAGATCATATACATTATTTATACCAACCTTAGACACTCCAGATATTGTGGACAACATCACCCATATTTTTGGCAAAGCCTTAGGGGAGATTGAGTACAGAACTTCTGGAGTGCCTAACCATGACCTATGGGTCGTCAACCTGGTCCCTACCACCCACTAGTGGGCGTTTCAGGATTCCAGGTGGGCGGTAGGGATTTCGGCGGCACAAGATAAAATGCTAGCTAATCCACCGTTTGAGAGAGTGGGCGGGCGCGAGTGCACACATGAAAGTGCGAAAGCGCGTGAACTGTGCAAACACGAGAATGCGTGCACGCGAACATGTAACACGTGGGAAGAAGGGGATGAGTGGGAGCTGATGCACGATAACAGGGACAGCAGAAGAAGGCAGAAGCGGAGCAGAGCAGTTGTGAAATAGGAGAAAGAAAAGGAGAGAATTGTTGGCTAACAATAATAAGTGAGCTAACTATATTTAGTCTCGCAGGATCAACCTCAGGGATCTCATTAATCACTAGTAAAGGTAATTTCAATTTACTTTGTTTTCTCATTAAACTTTACAAAGTTAAAAACATTATAAACATGCGTAGAGATAAAAAGATAAATGTACGTCCATTTTAAAAAAAAAAAAAATTTTTTTAAACACCCTACCTTTAAAAAAAAAAAATCTGCATTTGCGTGAAAAATGGTGGGCGGTAAGAAAATTTTTCCATCAAGAAAGATTCATTAGTGGGCGGTAGGTAGAAAAAGGTTGACTACCCCTGATTTATACACTAAAACTGCTTAATTAAGCTAAATATGTTTTGGTGCTTAACGTATCCCTTTAAACGGCAATGGTTAACCCTCTTACCTGGGTCCCTGCCAGACAGCAGGCCTTCCCTGATGTTGTGTGATCTACATATAGCTTCTGTACAGCCAAACGCCGCTATGGCCAATCAGCATCTCCTTATAGAGATGCATTGAATCAATGCATCTCTCTGGGGAAAGTTCAATGCCTTTATGCAGTACGTGGGGACGCTGAACGTCAGTGACTGACCCAGGAAGTACCTCTAGTGGCCTTTTCTCTGAATATGCAGGGTTTACATTAAAAATCCTGCAGAGACATACTATACTCACAAGAACAACTACATTAAGCGGTTTGCCACCATATCTACCAGAATAAAAAGTTTTTAAATATTTACCATCTCCTGATAGACAATAACTAAAGTGAGGTTAAGATTTCAGTGAAATATTTTACCATCTCATCTTTGGGTACTAATGTACCAAAACGAATACCAATAGCCATCAAAGCTGTACATACACAAAAGGCTTACAAAATACTTCTGATACATGTGTGATACACAGGTTGAAATTAAATAAAAATTTACATTACAGCAGATTTTAACAAATAATGCAATGATCTCACCAGTATGGGTTCTTCGATGCCGCTGTAGCTCATCACTTCGAGTAAATCTCTTGCCACAGAACATCCAAGTACAAACAAAGGGACGTTCTCCCGAATGCCAACGAAGATGAGCTCTAAGGTGTGATGTCTTGCCATAAACCTTACCACAGCCTGGGATGTGACAGATATGTTGCTTTTTCTTTCCAAGATTGGTACCTCTGAAAAGTTGACAAAATTGGAAAAATGCACACATTTAAATATAAAATAAGATTGTAAAACAATGTGTTGTGACTCATCTCTTAATTGCCAAACACTATTGTTGCTAGCAGAGTTTGAAGAGATACTAATGACACCCATAACATTTAATCTCAATGAAGTGGTTAAATGCTATGTCCCTGCAGTTTTAATACAGCAGTTGCGGTTTTGTAGGAATGTTTACATTGGACGGTTAAAACGCATCTACTGGCTGTCATTCATTGAGACCATCTTATCGTTGCGTCATTTGACACGCATGTGCACTAGTCTTCCAATGCTTTCATATGGGACTTTATCATCTCAGCTTAGGATGCGGGGCCAACTACAGAAAGTATTGCTATTCTCTAAATTAGAACACTTTTTTTTTAGTGTTATGCTAGAATATATATCTATCTTTATAGATCAGTATTATCAAATTAGAGATTTGATCAACTTGTAGCACAAGTTCTCATATTTTATCAGAACAGGCAACTTTTAAATCAAGGTTATTTTGTTAACCATTCAATATTTATCAACAAATGTGTTTCAAAGTGTAGTGCACGCATTTCATATCTTGTTAAGTGCAACACTACAAGGATATTAACATGTCATCTCTGTGGAGTTTACTCACAAAATTATTAAAATGCATTTTCTATGCAAGATAATTGCAGCCAAGTACAGGATGGAAGAAGAATGCCACTAGAGGGAGGTGCATGACACAGTGAGTCAACACTTGTGAAGACTAATTGATTCTGCAGTATGGACGACGCAGTACTGGCCGTTATAACAGAGGTGTATAACACAAGCAGAATAACTTTACATATTTTTGGCCCTGGAATATTATTACAGTGAGAAAAAAAAAAAAAAAAAATTCGAATTTTCTCTATTTATCTGGATATTAACATACATTCAACAATTATGATACCGCAGCTTACTTTGGAAGCGATCATCAGAACATCACAAGGCAAACATAACATCCAGAACAATGCTATTACCAAATATGAATAATTTAATAACAGTAAACTTGTATCAATAAAGTCCATGTCGAAGGACTGAAATGTTGATTCATAGAGCAATATCCTAAAATAGTGGATACAAACTAAAGGCTATGACGAAAATTACAATATCTTTGAAGGCTCATCTCATGAATAGGGTATAATACAACTAAGGAAAAACACACACGTAAAATGTCAAACGCAAAGAATTTCAGCTCCTGTATCAAGCATATGGAGCATTACTTTTGTATGAGCCTAGTGGGTTTATGAGAAATCATAGTATAAAGTAAATTGATACATTTGGTCTAGAATCTCAGAGCCTCAAAAAGAAACATTCAACCTTTAAGGACCTCTACACACTCCAAAAGCACTTCAGCTTGTTGAAGTTCTTTATGAGTGAAGAATATTTCATTTTGAAACCCTAGTTTATAAAAGTGCCAATGTTTCATATACTTTTTACAAATAAACCATAGAACACCCCCTGGCTGTCAGCCAAAGAGGTATGCAGCCTCCTACTGTTAGCTCCACTGAGCCAACTCTACTTGAGCTCCTCCAGACCTCAGAGCAGACGTGCATGCACAAGTGCACCTATTTAGAAACTATGAAGAACTACAGTCTCTGCAAGCTCTTAAAGGGACACTATAGTCACCAAAACAACTTTAGCTTAATGAAACCGTTTTGGTGTATAGATCGTGCCTCTGCAGTCTCAATGCTCAATTATCTGCCATTTAGGAGTTAAATCACTGTTTATTAACCCCAGTCACACCTCCTTGCATGTGACTTGCACAGCCTCACTAAACACTTCCTCCATCTAATGTTTATCCTTCCTTTATTGCAAGTTCTATTTAATTAAGATTTTCTTTTCCTTCGCTATACTAATAGTTTGCTAGACCCTGCAAGAGCCTCCTGTATGTGATTAAAGTTCAATTTACAGAGAAAGAGATACAATTGTTTAAAGGACCACTATCAGCTCAATGAAGTAGTCTAGGTGCAAGGTCCCTCTAGTTTTAACTCTGCAGCTGAAAACAGTTTCAGAAAAACTGCTATGTTTACACTGAGGGTTAATCCAGCCTCTAGAGGCTGTCTTCGTGACAGCCACTAAAGGTCGCTTCTGCGATTCTCACTGTGAAAATCACAGTGAGAAGACGTTGACGTCTATAGGAAAACATTGAGTAATGCTTTCCTATGGGCGGTTTGAATGCGTGCGCGTTCGGCACCAACGTCGGCAGGAGGAGTTCCCCAGCGCCAAGGGAGCATGGCGCTGGAGAAAGGTAAGTGGCTGAAGGGGGGGGGGGACCTAAGGACTACATAGTGCCAGGAAAGTTTGTTTTCCTGACACCATAGTGGTCATTTAAGGTAAATTACATCGGACTGAAAGTGAAACCAGTTTTATTTTTCATGCAGGCTGTGTCAATCAGAGCCAGGGGAGGTGTGGCATGGGCTGCATAAACAGAAACAAAAGTAATTTAACTCCTAAATGGCAGTGAATTGAGAGGCATGATCTATACACTAAAACTGCTTCATTAAGCTAAAGTTGTTAAGGTGACTATAGTGTTCCTTTAAGATATACCGCCAATGAATACATGCATGTAAAAATGCATGTATGTATTAATTAGGGGTATATCTACTAAACATTTGTTTTTTTTGTTGCCAATTTGGGCAGTGGGCTGTCTCTTAAAAATATGTTATCTACAAAGTTCTAGATAAGTAGTATACAGGAATAGAACGAGAGTTCTTGTTTTTTTTTTTTTTTTACTAAAAAAAAATAAAAAAAAATGGTTTCCTAACAGATTCTCTTCTTTGCTTCCAGGTTTTACAATCCTCTCTGTTCACTGTAGCCAACAGAAAAGGTGCTGAAAAGTATTATCCTTGAATAAGGGTACAAAATCTACACACCTTCCGGCACCCTCTTTGCAGTTAGGGCATGTACACGCCACTCTCCTCAGTCTTTTCCCTTCCTGATTTGGTTGGTCCATCTCATCTTCCACAACTTGGACTCTCAGGTGGGTTAAATCATTTGTGTTGACTGTAGAGTCACCAGTAAGGTGCCATTCCTCTGGGTCAGGTTCCTCCTCCTTAATTCGTATCCCTGAAAATTAGACAACATTAAATAAGGCGTGTAAGTGTGAAAACAGTTGTGCGTTGTACTGTCTTAATGAGAATTCAGGAGTATTTTTTATTTATTGGTTCGAATGTTTATGTTCAATAGAAGTTTAGTTATGAAAAGCAGGAATACATATATACAACGGCACAAGAACATTTAGGAAAGGTAAACACCATTAGCAGTGTAAATACATAACAACTGCACTCAGGTTGCTTTTTTGATAGAATAATCAAGTTGTTTAGGTAAACATTACCCAAGAAAACCTACATCAGATATGAATATGTGAACAAGTAGAAATAAGAGTGGGGAAGGATTTTAATCAGATTGATATCTCAGGCCAGTATTTATACTTTTGTAATCAGGAAGTCAGATGAGGACACGATCTCTAGCTAATAGGAAGGTAATTTATGTCTGGATTTATGTCCCTAGTGGCACCTGCAGGAGCAATAACGCTCCGTTAAAAACATGGAATGCCTTTATATTTGATTCAGTTAATTTACAAGGATAACAAACGACAAATACAAAAAATGGATTTGCCAGTGTATGAGTGGGTATGTGACTAAATTGATATGCAAGGTAGTGGCTTACATGGTATGATTGCAACGGCGATTTATCAGGGGTTTGTCTCACTACTATTGCCTGGCTCATAGCTTTTGTACCTGCCTCTTAGTCTATGGAAATGTGTTAAGCCTTAAAATATATTCCACAATTAAAGAGATAAGCCCTTGGTAAATTCAGTTAAAATAGCTCAACTGGAAAAATTCTACAACTCTTCTTGGAGACTTCCTTTCCTAACCTGCTATTTGTCTTCATTTTGCCAGACTGTAACTCACTAACATTCTGAGTTTAGGGAATAACTCTGTAAGCATATGTGAACAGATTGAGAACCACGGGCAAGGTTCTAAAATAGTTGAATTCAACATTTGAGTATTCTAAGAGTTTTACGTTTGTCATATTATACCTTCCAAATAGTATACCTGTCAAGAGATATTGCCTGTAAACGTTCAAACACAAATTGGCGCAGATTGTTTTCTTGAATATTAGTGGTTTTGGCATATACAAAGGGTTATATCACGCCAACCTTTTCACCTTAAAGTTGTGTAGAGACTCACAATATACAATGATTAATCGGGTGCATATATTATATTGTATATTATCAAGTCATTGGAGATGTACTACCCAAACTGTTTTGTTTGATCTGTGCACCAATTAGATGGAAACTGTTAGTTGAGACTTTGTTGCAGTCGTGTGTATGTGTTTTAAGCTCCTTTAAATGAACTTGCTAAAGTTTTTAATTTTTTTAAGTCAATAAGCATAAGTGATCAACTGTGAATTGCAACAGTTATGTTCCTAATATGCAGAACAGCTTCTTCCAACTATTAAAGGCTGCTATAGTTTATTCACAAAATAGACTACGCTACGTATTAACGGATTCTGTGCTTTAGATTATACTATATAGAACTTTATTTTCTTTTTAATTCACACTTCATCTGTATTAACACTCAGCACTCTGTCAAAGGCAGGTAACCTAGTTATAATATGTAATTTTTCAATACCACTGGTAACTGTTTTAGGAGAAAGTTTACGCAGAATAAGGCACAATAACAATCTGACTTCCCATTGACAAAACTGGCTTGGAAAAGGACTTTCCAAGACCAATTTTGTGAATCAGGGAGTTACTGATTGGCTGAGTCAGCTGACCACTCTCAACCAATCAGCAGCTCCCCCTGACCGGGAACTGAAATTTCAGAAGCTGGATGTCACCTGAGGGTGGTTGAGATCACAGCTGGAAGCAACTTTATGCTCCTCCAGCCATTCTGTACCCAAACATCCAGCTAACAAAACAAAGGTTTGTTAATGAAGGAACATTATTTATGTAAATTAGGATGCAACAATTCACCAACAGTCAAAAAGTCTAAATTGAATAAATGTGGACTACATCCTTGTGCCGCATCAATGTCAGCAGCTGGAGACGCTATAAAGACAGATGTACGTGGTCGTATAATAATGTTTTTCCCAAGAAGCTGTAATCTGTTTCCACAGCAACAACTAGAACTCTTATACCCATTAAGTGCGACACTGAGAGTGAGTGTGGGAGTGAGGTATAAGTGGGATATCTAATCTTAAGGCAAAATCTAGCCACACTGTGAACACCCTCAATGAAGCAGGTATGCAGAGCGAGCTTCTGTGATGTCCACTAGCCTTATTATATGCGCTATTTGCAAGCTTACTGGATTACTAAACCAAAATAGAAAGGAGAGAAGTTCAACGAGTTCATGATCTTGACATCCCTAACATCCACTTTGCCTCCAGTTTTAAACAACTGCGCATCACTCTAGATTTCATTTGTGCCTCTATAAAGATTTTCATGGCAATATCTAAATACAGGAAGGTTGACGTTGTTTTAGGGACCAAACCAGTGTTCTGTGTAGTCATGGTGACCTCACATTAAGCTATAGTTCCTGAGCAAGCAGAGGCTGTCATCTTGTTAGCCAACTGCAATTCTCTAACTACTCCAAGATCCTCAGCAACAAAAACAAAGGCCACATAACCCAGGGATCAACAAATCTCAGGCTCCAGGTCACCATGTAGACCAAGAATTTTGCGTCTGGGTGTTTGTCAGCCCATTAAGCGGAGAGAGCATGGAGGCTGCTGAGGATGAATGGAAGTGGGCAGCGAGGGAGGTGTATTTGTTGAGCTCTTCTTGCTCTGCTTCCTTGTAAGTTCTGCTGTTATGCCAGGAGATGACATCACTCTGGCCCCGTCATCATTAAACAGTGCGGGAGGGAGCAGAGCTTGAAGATTACAGGATCACAGCAGCTACAAAATTATTGCTTTTTTGTTTAAGTAGATCTGGTAGACAGCCACTAGAGGTAGAGTTAACCCTGAAAGGTAATTATTGCAGTTTCTTAAAAACTACAAAAACTAGCTTTGCAGGGTTAAGGGACCTGAGACTAAGCACCCAGACTACTTCAATGAGCTAGAGTATTCTGGGCAGTGGCGTACATACCAGGGTCGCAGGGGTTGCGGCTGCGACCGGGCCCGGCCCACCAGGGGGCCCGGCATGTACCCACAGGGCCAGCCTCTTCCCCTGGGGGGCCCAGGAACCGGCCACCTCAGGGCCCCCCGAGGCTGGCCCTGCTGACACCCGGAAGGCGGGTGGCCGCGCGAGGGAGCACTCAGTGCTTCCTCTTCAGCTCCCTTGCGTACCGCACTGATACCGGAGCCGGAAGATGACGCCTTTTTCCCGCGCCGGCATCCTTACGCGGCGCGCGAGGGAACTGAAGAGGAAGCACTGAGTGCTCTCGCGAGAGAGAAGAGAAGAGAGAGGGGAGAGAGAGGGGAGAGGGGGGAGAGGGGAGAGGGGAGAGGGGAGAGAGGGGGGAGAGGGGGAGAGGGGAGAGGGGGGGAGAGGGGAGAGGGGAGAGAGAGGGGGGAGGGGGAGAGGGGAGAGGGGGAGAGGGGGGAGAGGGGGGGAGAGGGGAGAGGGAGGGGGGGAGGGGAGAGGGGGGAGAGGGGAGAGGGGGAGAGGGGAGAGGGGGAGAGGGGGGGGAGAGGGGAGAGGGGGGAGGGAGGAGAGGGGAGAGGGGAGGAGAGGGGAGGAGGGGGAGGGGAGGAGGGGGAGGGGAGGGGGAGGGAGGGGAGGGGGAGGGGAGGGGAGGTGGGGGAGGGGGAGAGGAGAGGGAGAGGGAGAGGGAGAGGGAGAGAGAGAGAGGGAGAGAGAGAGGGAGAGAGAGAGGGAGAGAGAGAGGGAGAGAGAGAGGGAGAGAGATCAATTTTTGCACCGGGGCCCCATGGGTCATGTGTACGCCACTGAGTCTGGGTGCCTATAGTGTCCATTTAAGTAATATTGCACAACTTGTTTTCCTGGCACTATAGTGTCTTTATGCTCCTCCCCACCCCCCACCCTCATGGCCCCACTCCCACTAGGCTAAAGGGGGAGGAAGGGGTTAAACACTTATCTTTCTCCAGCACCGGGCAAAATCGCCTCCCTCTTCCAACGTCAGGGCTGAATGTGCATGCGCGACAAGAGCACGCATTCAATCAATCCATAGGAAAGCATTTCCCATTTTCACAGTGAGAAGCATGGAAGCGCCTCTAGCGGCTGTCAACGAGAGCCACTAGAGGCTGGATTAACCCTAATGTAAACATAGCGGTTACTCTGAAACCGCTGTTTACAGCTGCAGGGTTAACCGTAGATGGACCTGGCACCCAGATCACTTCATTAAGTTGTAAGTTGTGAGCAAGGATAAGCAATGGCAAAATATCAGAGGCATTAATAGCATTGTTAGGAGCTTGGGGTAGGTAGTGCCTTATTGGCTAGCTATGTGTGGCTGAGAGTTATTTTTGTCCGTGCATGTTTAGGATTGAGTGGCTAGTTATTCGTATGTGTTGTACACAAATGTAACTAGCTTACTAACCAAAACCCTCTGCAATTTATTTTTTTTAAACACTGATCAGTAAAAAACTGAAAACCCAACTGAGAAATTTAGACGTGGCTATAGCCGAGTTATAGAATTTTTCCAAATCCACTGTTGCCTAAATTTTGTAATCTGCTTATCACTAAAGTTATGTCTCTGAATAAACAAATGTTAACTTAATTGTTAGGAAGGTAGGAACAATCTGGAAGACATCACCTAATGAGAAGTTAGAGTTTTGTTTTTTAGAACATGCCATTTTTCTTTTATTATTATTGCCATTTATATAGCGCCAACAGATTCCGTAGCACTTTATATTATTAGAGGGGGGTTTAACTATAAATAGGACAATTACAAGAAAACTTACAGAAACGACAGGTTGAAGAGGGCCCTGCTCAAACGAACTTACAGTCTACGGGAGGTGGGGCACAAAACACATTAGGACAGGAAGTAGCAGTCAAATTAGGTGGGAGTGAAGCAGAGCTAGAGGAGAGAGTAGAGTGCTGCCCTTTAAGAGAGAGCAAGAGACAGGAATGTGAGGTAGAGGTTAGTTTCAGAGGCCATAGGCTTTCCTAAAGAAATGGGTTTTAAGGCACTTCTTAAATGATTGGAGACTAGGGGAGAGTCTGATGGAGGAAGGCAGGCTATTCCATAAGAAGGGAGCTGCCCGCAAGCGCAAGTTGGCCGTACGGGTGCGAGCAGCGGACAGAAGGTGGTCACGGAGAGACCGAGAAGAGGCATACCTATGGATCTGTGAGAACATGTAAGAGGAGCTAAGATTATTCAGTGCTTTATAGGTATGGGTTAGCACTTTGAATTGACTCCTATAGTATACAGGAAGCCAATGTAAGGACTGGCAGAGAGGTGAGGTGTGAGAGGACCGACTAGAGAGGAAAGTCAGTCTGGCGGCAGCATTCATTACAGACTGTAGTGTGGCAATACGGCTATTGGGAAGACAAATTAGGAGAGAGTTACAATAGTCCATGCGAGAGATTACTAGAGCATGGACAAGCTCTTTAGTAGCATCTTGTGTAAGAAAGGGGCGGATGCGGGCGATGTTTTTGAGGTGGAATTGGCATGATTTGACAACAGACTGGATGTGAGGCTCAAAGGTGAGGCCAGAATCAAAAGTAACACCAAGACAACGTGCTTGTAAGGATGGGCTGATGCCCAGATACCACCAATCTGAAGAGAAAGCGAGAGAGGAGGAAAGACCCTGCATCAGGCTATCCTGGCACAACCAGAGCATTTAATGCAAATTCCTTTATCTCCACATGTGTCATGCACGTAGACAATGTAAAGGCATATGCAAACACGTGGAACAAATGCCAAAGCATACATGCCCATGACTTTCTAAGAAGATTAAGCATATGTACAACAAATTGTGCAGTATCATTGACAATGTGTCCACACTCAGCCTGTGTGTTTCATTCATAGCGCCACGGAACTCCTCAACACACTAAGTGCTTCCACATCATTAACTGGGGTGAAAGAATCAGAAGTCACAGCATTATATACTCTGGTTTCTAGACCTCAAGAAACAGCATAGCAACACTTTCATGGATATCACTAATTGTGGCTTAAAAGGAACACTACAGAGTTATCCTTTTCAGAGAAAAGGAAGTGTTTACAATGCTACCTAGTAACACCTCTAGTGGCAGTCACTCAGACGTCCACTAGAGGTGCTTCCTAGACCAGTGCCATGTAGTGAGGCACCTATGTTCAGCAGAGACGGTGAACATTCCCCATAGAGATGCATTGATTTAATGCACCTCTGTGAGGAGATGCTTACTGGTGCGGCACGTTATTTTTGCCGCACATGAGCAATGGCCTAATAATCCTTTCCTATGAGAAAGTACGGAATTGGCTGAAATCATCAAAATTAATGATCTCCACCACGGAGTCTGGGTCAGTCGTGGCAAGGGGAAAAGGAGAGTTAAAACATTTCCCATGCGATCAGAGTTGGAAAGTTCACCTAGTTAGTTTACCACTATAGTGTCAAGTATGCATGTTTGTATTACTGACACTATAGTGTTCCTTTAAATTTACATATAATGAAAACTAGTATCAAATGTCATTGGCATTTTACTTGTGTAGACAATTAATATATTCTGATGTGACACACCAGATGTATGCATTGATTGTTTTTTTTCCCACTTTGCTTTTTGTGGCCATGAACATTCCTTGTATTTTTAGAACTAAAGTACCAATACTCACACATACTCAATGACAGACACACTGAATTGAGAGACGCACTTAAAGACACACACTTTCTCTCACACATGAACAAATTATTTTTCTTTTTTAAGTCCACACAGTCTTCCTATCCTTTCCCAGGGCTCCAATGCAGCTGCTGTGATCCTGTAATCTTCTTGCTCCTCTCCTTCGCATGCTGTTTAGTGATGACGGAGTGACGTCCTATCCCGTTATCACAGCAGGGCACACAAGGAAGCAGAGCAGGAAGATCACAGCTCCTTCGCGGCCACTTCCATTCCACACAGCCACCTGCTTTGGGTCCAGTGTTGAATAGGCCTACACCCAGGCGTCAGAACAATTCTAGTCGCCATGGCGACCTTGCGTTTGGGATTTGTCGAGCCCTGTAATAACTGCTATAGAAATTTCTTCTAAAATATTACCTGTCAAGTCTTGCAATTATGACTAGTTTAAAGTAGGATTCTGTTTTAATTTTACAGAAATGTGCAAACAGTAAAACTTTAATCGCACAATTACACTAAACTGTACTGTATTCACCGAGCTTGACAAAAGCAGTTTTCAACATATGCATAGGAAAACAGACTTGGTAAATATAAATTTAATTAAGTCATGAAGATTGACATTTGAATATTAAAGTGGGGCAGGCAGATGTGTGCGCAGTGGGAGTTTTTATTACAAAGGATATGAATGGCATGGAAGGAAAGAGAGACTACAGGAGACAAGGGGGCTGGGAAAGAACATGGAACCAAGGAGAGTGGATAACTGAAAACGGTCAAATTGCAACTATGCAATAAAAGTACAGGCTACGAAAAAAAAACAAGAGTGACTTGAGTATATCAAGACTTGTATGCAAGACTATTTTGAGCACTGTAAGAAATTACCCATCTTTATAAGAGTAACAAAATATACTTTTACGTCACTCAGGTTATAGACATAATACTGGATTACAAAGAATCTTCTAAATCATAGGTTCAAACAATGGCAATTTGCAATAAACAGTTTTAGAGTTAATTTAGATATGCTAAATCAGAGCTCACAATTGCCACTCGCAATAAGCAGTTGGAAAGTGGAAATTGACCTCTGGCAAGTAAAAATTCAACCCTATATCATGTACCAAGCAGGCTTGCAATGGCACTAAAGGAACACTATGCACCATCCTCTAGATTGTAAGCTCATTTGAGCAGGGTCCTCAACTACCTATTGTTCCTGTCACATTTTGTTATCGTCTCATTTGGTAAATTCCCCTCTTATTGTAAAGCGGAATAAGCTGGTGCTATATAAATAATAACCAATAATAATAATAATAATAGCTAAAGTGTGCTGTAGTGGTTATAGTACCAGGTGTGCCCTGAGCGTCTTCCAATATAAGCAGTTTTATAACAGCTTGACTTATTACCTGGAGTTTACCACGCGCCAATCCCTGCCAGTTCTCTTCTGGTAAGGAGCTTTTGCTAGTTCATCCGAGTCAAGCTCTGCCATGCAAGGCCAGATCAGTGTCAGAGCATCAGCTAATCATCTCAGCCAATGAGTTGAGCCACTGGCCACAGTGCAGCACCTTGTAGAACCCAGTTAAGAAGTCAAACAGTTACCACAAGTCTTGATTACTCACATTGGGGTGTATGCTGTAGCAGTTATTGTGCTTGGAGCATTCCTTTAATCAGGAAAGCTCCAAAGACTCAACACAAAACATCCAAGTAAATATACTTCAAAGGTCCAGCTGTGACCATTTAACTTCTCTGTGTATATCACATACACAGTGTTTTGTGGTTAAGGTGTCAAGAAACTAATTTGATAAGAAAAAAATTTAGTGATTTCACCCATGTCTTGCACAATAACCATTACTATAAGAAGTAGTGACTAAGGAGTTTGGAGTGACATAGTATAGGTAATATAAATTTTTTTTTATAACATTTACATCATCAATTTTAAGGCCATAGACAGAGGAAAAAGTAAAGAAAAGTAAACTAACCTGTTGGGCTATCAGTGTCATGCTGAAAATGGATGCCTGCTGCATCAACCGAGTTTACAGTAACAGTCTGTAGGTTTGGCAACTGACCAGTGCTTATAGTTCCTGCCCCTCCAACTTGCCCAAGTGTAAGTGTCTGGACAGGTGTCAATGTTATTTGCTGAGGAGAGGAATTCTGGATCTGCAGGTTTTGCAAGTTCTGAACACCTTGAACTTGAAATGTTTGCCAAGCAATCTGGCCTGAAGGAGTCACTGTTTGAGCTTGAATTAGGAAAGTTCCAGGGTTAAGTTGCAACTGAAGGTTCTGCAAAGCTTGAGACGATATGGTTTGACTTCCAGCCTGAACTGCTTGTATGGCCTGTTGTGCAATACTTTGCACAAGCTGAGCTTGACTGGTAGGCTGGCTTTCTTGAAGCTGTATTTGTTGTACCATTTGTTGCGATGTGGAGACCTGAATGCTCTGCGAGTCATCAGATAATGAAGCCTGGATGTAATTTCCCTGAAGATCAGATGTTTGCACCTGCCCACTCGGGCTATCAGACATACTGTTTGCACTTTGCTGAAGCATTCCTGAACTATCTATAGTTACAGGAAGTCGAGATGAAGAGGATGTTGGCACAAACAAATCTGTATCAGAGTTGTTATCACCAGCATCAGGAGAAACGTGCTCATGTTCGGCAGTCCTTTCAGAAGTATCAGAGCTGTCCATGGCATGGCCTTCACTTATTAAGTGTCCATCTGCAGTAATACCTGCGGTCATACCTTCAGAGCTGCCAGACAAACCCAATGAATCTAAGTCAACACTATTGATTGGAACAAAGGTGATATTACCAGGAAGTCCAATAGGGACATTAGTCACAACTTGCTGACCCCCATAAGATCCACCCCCAATTGTTACACCTTGAATTTGACCAGCCTGTGTTAAAATATTGGAACTTGATGACAAAAGACTGGAATGGTTTCCAGGAATAATCTGAATCTGGCCTGATTCTTGATCTAACCCTCCATTATCAGATGTGGCAAAGCCAAGTTGGACTTGTTGACCATCACTTGTTTGGAGCTGTGGTATCACTTGATATTGGACATTGGACAAATTACCATTAGCACCCTCTGCTCCTTGTGCTACAGAAAATAGGTGTTGATTTTGCAAGGTCTGAATGGGCAACACATACTGTCCACCTGATGTTACTGTAGCACCACCTGGTAATTGTACTATGTTCCCAGCTTCATCCTTTAAAGCAGCCTGGGCTGGGGTCAATACTTCCCATCTATTTGGGCCTCCAGTGATCTGCACAGATGTCAAATCTTCTGTCTGTAGAAAGAAAAAAAAAAAAAGTCTTCAAGAAAATACATATATAAAGAATGAGATACAGAACACAGATTTCTTGAATGTGAGAAATCAATTTTATTGCATCTCTAAATCCATGTATATATAAATAAGAATAAGTAACTACAATTCAACTAGATCTACAAACTCACTAAGATGCAGGTTATATACATAGGTGCATTTGTACCCTCAGTTTCCGGAGAGAGAGGAAAAAAAAAAAAAAAAAAGTATTTAGAAGAAGCTGTAGTAAAGCAAGCTAACACACATATTCCTGATCCTATAGTGTTGAACTAGGGATCGACTAATATTTTTATTTTTTTAAAGCCGATGCCGATAATTTTTTTTTTGCAATTTTTTTTTTTTTTCTTAAGTGGTAAATGCACAAAATATACATGTCAGTCAGATTTTTGTTAATTTTTGTTAATGTTTTCAAGAATATTTGTGTGTGTGTTTGTGTAGTGGATGCAGTGTGTTTGTGTGTAAATACGTGCGGTAGGAACCTTTCCCGTCCCATAACATTCTTTCCTCCCCCCATTCCCATAGAGTTTTTTCCTCCTCCCCTACCCCCACCCAAATATAGCAAAATCTTACTTTTATTCCAGTCTGCTTCTGCTGGCTCTGCCTCTGATCTACCTGCTTGGCTGACATCAGAAATTTTATTCAAAGCCAATCACGATGCTTTTATATAGGAAAGCATTGAATTGGCTGAGACTGTCAAGGAGGCAGTATATGGGCAGAGCCAGCACAAGTCAAACACAGCCCTGGGTAATACGCATCTCCTCAAAGCTGTATTGAATCAATGCATTTCTATGATTAAAGTTCAGTGTCTCCATACAGAGGGTGGAAACACTGAATGGCAATGCTGCACAGTGTGCAGCACTGCTCCTGCAATCACCTCTAGCAGCCATATGAGGAGTGGCCAGTGTATCCCTAAACTGTAATGTAAACATTGCATTTTCTCTAAAAACAGTGGTTACTGCAAAAAGCCTGCATTGAATAATTATTCTCACCAGAACAAATACAATAAGCTGTAGTTGTTCTGGTGACTATAATGTGCCTTTAACATTTGTAGCCAACACTAGTAAGCAAGGCATTACTCAGAAATTCAAGGGCTGCTAGCGGTTACACATCTACTGTGTAAATACCACACTTCAATGTTCTGGTTTTCAAACCAATTACATTAGTATGTGATTTGATTTTTGCAACACCACTGCCTGACTATTTTTATAGTGTTTTCTTTGGCAGCAAAGACATCTGTTGAGCCTCAAAAAATTAGCAAAGGAGGGTTTCACCACATTTAAAGTGTAGCGGTTGTGTGTTATACACATTTGAAAGAGCATTTAAAAAAAAAAACAAACGCTATACATTGTGCTATCAGATATTTTCTAAAAATATGTATTTTAAATATGCCCCTCCCCTTGCCAGTCAATTAATGAGTAAGAGCACAGTGAGAGGACTTTCCTACAGGGTGTGTGTCTGGCACAGCAACTACAGTCAATGGGTTGTAGTTACTCATCTAAATAGCACTTCAAACACTGGCAAAGGAGCACAGAAACATAATTAGGCCATTGTTTGGATGTCATGGGTAGAATTGCCCTGCGTGAGAAAGTGTATTCAAGCAAGATCAACCATGCCAGACAGCGCCAAGGACAGGTGTTGTATTTGTGCAATTTCCTCAAATTCTAATCATTGTGATGATGGAACAAAGGTAAGTAGTATCTGGAATTTAAAATAAAATACAGACATACACCTCTATCTGTAAGTGTGTATATGCAGATATTCCAGCAAACACAAACATACAAAGACACCCCTGAACTCCAACTCTAAAATTATATGCAAACACTTAAACACCAATACTACACACATCACTGTATTAAAATTATACACAACCACCAAATCTACACACAGAAGCACACCTACCGTATATACTCGAGTATAAGTCGAGTTTTTCGGCACATTTTTTGTGCTGAAAAACCCCCACTCGACTTATACTCGAGTTAATGTCTGTATTATGGCAATTTACAGCCCGGCGGTCCTGTTAGGGGCTGACAGTGAGCGGTTACTTACCTTCCTGCAGCTCCCTTCTCCTCCGTGCAGCTCTTCTGTCAGCTCACACTGTAAGTCTCACCTCCTTTAAATGCCCACAATGTTTGGTTATAGTTCTCTTTATGTGTAAATTTAATGGAACAATAATTAGGTGTTTTTACTCACACCGAACTGCTCTCACCACGGCTGGCCCCACCTCCACAGCTTAGATAATCAATCTTGATGATCTTAGTCAATCCAATATTTTCCAATCAGCAGGTCCTCATCCTTGAACCAAAGCATGTCTATGGGGAAAGTTCAGTGCTTCCACACGCTGAATGTAGGTGCTGCACACTGTGTTACTATGCAGCAGGGTAAACACTGCTTTTTTTACTGAAAAGGCAGGGTTTACATTGAAAAGTCTACAAGGACAGGCTGTAGACACAAGAACCACTACATTAAGCTGCAGTGGGTGTGCTGACTATAGTGCCCCTTTAAGATTGTTATTTTGTCACTGAAAATAAAGCTTTGTTAGCTGGCTCCTAGATGCAAAGTAAATTTGTCAAGCCCTGCATTAGAATGTACAATTATGATGCACATATACATCCTGTTACTAGGTGTGTGCTGGGAAGAATCCCTAGGTCTCCCTTCTGTCACCTGGGACAAAAAAAAAAAAAGAGCTGGCAGACATGCTATGTGCCCTTTGCAAAAGATGTGCAGTTCAGAGTGGTGTACATATCTAAATGGTTGTTCCCCAATTCATTTCAGTGGAGAATACTTAAATATGGACTCAAATGCAATGAGATAAAGTGGTCTGGGTGCCTATAGTTCCTTTAAAGGGATACTATTTGTGCCAGGCATACAAAGCTGTATTCCTGGCACTATATTCACCTGCCTGTTCTTGGCAACATCTAACTCATGTGTAGTTCAAGGTTCTTGGAGTTGAACACTCATACTCTGATTAAAAGGACACACTAGGCACAATAAACATTTAATTGAAAATGGTTATAGTGCCATAGAGTTCCCTTGCCCTATCCCTCCATTCAATGTTAACCTGTTTTTAAAAGTGAAATAGTCTCTCTGGCCATCTACAGCCCAGCACCCACTGGCTAAGACAGAGAATGGACAAATCCTCGGCCATACCAACAATGGGTGGGGGTGATAGACTACTCTCAGCCAAACAACTGCCACCCATTACTGTTAGGGTTAGTCCTTCATTAACACAAGCAGTACAAGTGGGCTGGTATGCTGGGGACTCATTTAGCATTAAAAACTATTCAAAAATGCTTCAACACTGAAAGGAGGAAAGGCACCAAACGATTCTAGGCATTTTAAACACTAAAAAGACTGTTTCTCACAAAGATTCACAACCTAACCTTAGTGTTAGGAAATCGGGGAATCTTAAAGTGATTCTATAGTGCCAGGAAAACAAACCCGTTTTTCTGGTACTATAGACTCCTGCAGGGCCCCCTTCCTCCTGCGGTGCTGAAGCGGTTAAAACTTTCAGTCACTTACCTGAAACCAGAGCCAATGTCCCTTGGCACTGGGTCAGGCTCCGCCCAAGCTCGTCACCCGGCGGGGGATTTTAGGATTTAACCATAGGAAAGAATTAATCAATGTTTTCATATAGGGATTACAGTGGCGCTGGAAGTCCTCAAACATAGCGTGAGCACGTCCAGCTTCGTTTAGACTACCAAAAGTTGTCTAAGCACCTCTAGTGGCTGTCTGGTAGAGGAAGAGTTAACCCTAAGAGGTAATTATTGCAGTTTGTCAAAAACTGCAATAATCACTGTAGGGTTAAGGGACATGGGACACTGCACCCAGACCATTTCAATGAGCTGAAGTGGTCTGGGTGCCTACGATGTTCCTTTAACTTCTAGATCTAGTGAAAACAAATGTGGCTGATTGTATAATATAAGGACTTCTGGGCAATGTGTACAAATACACACCAAAGACAAGGGTTATCCAGCAAAAATTAAGATATGGATGCACACACACCAGCCTCACTGTGCCTCCCTCAATATCCTGAGGGGCCAGATGGTCCATTCCAACTCCTCTCCAGGTACTTGGCAGTAGACAAAGTAAGACTTGGGTGGGATCCAAAAAAAAACCACTGGTTTAAAAGTTAATGCTGTTAAGATCAATAATGCAGATTATATTTGTATTATCCGTTACATCTGCAAACTTATAAAGGTTCTATATGTTATTTAAGTTATTTTTGAAGTCTTACTTTGAGGACCACCATCAAGAACGTGGAGGAGTAGGAGCGGACCATCTTGCCCCACAGGATATCGGGGATGCACACTTAGGCTGTTGGGTGTACCCTTACATCTGTTTTTGCCGTGTCCCTTTTTTGGTTCATATCAGCAGTAAAATTTCTAATGGTTCCTTAACAATAACTGATTGTATTCAGCTTGACTATTAAAACGCAGCACAAACAGAGCTTAACCTCCTTTATTGCCGGAGGTGTAACTCTACCTCCGGCAATTCATTGGGGCATCGTTAGGAAGCCGGAACAAGAATTCGGGGGTGGCTGATGTAAATTAGGTACATTTTTCTAGGCAAAGAATGTCATTCATTGCTTGAGAGCGACCAGCCAACACCAAGTTAGGGTTCCCAAGCCAGTCTTCAAGTACTCCCTACCAGTCCAGAATTTAGGGATTACTGTTTTTTTTCTCTTTTTCTAAAAAATACCTTAGACACAACAGGGTAATCCCTAATTCCTTGACTGTTAGGGTGTACTTGAGGACTGGGCTGGGAACCACTGCTTTAAGCCAACAATAAGTGTCAGGATTGGAATCTGGCTTCTGAAGCAAAAAGTCCTAGTTCTGCTGCACAAGACATCTGTCACCCAGTGGTGACCCAGGTATGATAAGCGGGCAAACCAGTGGAGACCCAGAGCAAGCCGTTGTAAACAGTAGGCTGCAGTGGTTATGATGGTTGGAGTAACCTTTTAATTCCATTGTTATTCTGCAAACCTACGTACAAACAGTTAACACCTTTATAATTTAAATTGCACTTCTATTAAACTGGAGATAGATCACCATTTCTCATTCCATCATTACCCATGTATTTCTACTGGTATTTAACAATCAGTTCAGATATACCTGTTAAACTAATAATAGTTAATAGTTTTTATTCAAAATATGAAATCTTCATCTGACTGCAAACATTAAAGACTATAACAACATACAAGAACTAGTGATCAGGGGTAGGTAACCTTCGGCACTCCATATGTTGCGGACTTCATCCCCCATAATGCTCTTACACCCATAATACTGGCAAAACATCATGGGAGGTGTAGTCCAAAACTACTAGAACACTGCATGTTGTATAATCAAATTTCTCTGTGAGAGGATTCAGTAAATCATCTGAAAAGCAAAATATGTGCAAACTCGCCCAGGACACATGATTCAGCCACACTTGACCCAAATGGCTCAGTCATTTGCCAAACTAAAATGTATGTATAAAATGGAGAAATGTCCATGGAGGGCATGTGTAGTAACCAGAAAAGTTATATAATCAATATAAACTAGCATAAGACCATATGTTACAGTTGTGCAATAATACCCATGACCATTCTAGAAAGACCTATTTAATACTATCTGTAGCGATTCTTGCAAAAGGTCCTTGATGTTCATAGTAAAATATATGAAACATATTATACATACTAATGATCTATTTCTACTGTTCTTTATTGACCAGTCTGGAATTTCTCACATTTTCACGTTGTTTGGTGGATGATCATCAAGTTCATATTTGTTTTTGACCAGGTTCACTTGGCACAGATATTTATAGTAGACCATTTAGAATTGCAATCTCACTGGGCTGAAGAAAATATTAAACATTCATTCTACTATTGTTATTTGAAAGTTAGATAACGGTGTTCTCACATGGTCTCGTTTCTTGACCATGAGTGACTGCCACTAGGGGTGTTGCTAGGCATTAAGCAATGGCATGGCTAAGATAATTAAGATTGATTCTCTTCGCCATGGAAGCAGAGCAGGCCAAGGTGAGACCAGCACGGCGTGGGGAAAAAAGGTGAGTAAAAACACCTTCCCCATATGATCTGAGAACGACCTATTGGCTAAACACACACATTCACTGAATTGACACACACTGACAAACACGATCAAACAGATACACTCACAAATTAGGATTATTATTTTTTTGCTTTATGTCCACCCAGCCTGCCTACCTTTGGGGGAGTTGGAGTGGATCAGCTTTCCCTGGATTCAAGTAGGGCTGCTGTAATCTTCAAGCACTTCTTGTATAACCATGGATATTGTGCGCAATATACACTAACAGTTCTCAAAGGAGCAAAATGAATAGGTTTTGGTTAATAAAACGATTGTGTTAGGGGCAGTGTCTGTGATGGTATTCCCACGCTCAAAGTAATATGGGGAAGAGAAAGGAAAAGACAAATATAGTGTAGTATGTTTGGATCTCTGGTAATAACAATGGAGGGAAAAGAATTGCACTTACAATTTTCTGGAGCTTATACTCCGCTTCAGATATTTGCGCATGGATGGTATAATCCCAGTCTGTGGATATGTTCACGGTCCTTGGGCATCCGTTTATTATTACCAGAGATCCAAACATACTACACTATATTTGTATATTTTCCTTCTCTTCCCATATCGCTTTGAGCGTGGGAATACCATCACAGGCACTGCTCCCTGACCCTATCGTTTATACCAAATCGTATCACCAGAAAAGAAGAGACACTGGTTTTTGGGAAGTTCCAGCAGCCACATACTATAATTACAAATACTGATATTCCACCTACCCACCTATGTCTTGGTTAATGAATGTTCAATGCATAATTCATTACAGATATGGTTATTTTTCTATAATAACCAGTAAAGATTGGGCTTCTATAATTGAGTTCTGTTGTAATTATAGATGTATAATATAAAAAAAAAAAAAAAAAAAAAAAAAAAAAAAAAAAAAAAAAAAAAAAAAACAACAACCTTAAATGAACAGTGTTTATGGTGCTAAAAGTACTCTTACACACCCCTCACCGTAACTAGTAAAAACATTTCAGCATGGTTTATAGACTTACCTTGGGTCCCCTGGGCGCCATTCCCTGCCTCCACAGTAGCCTGTCTGTGATTGGCAGCATTAGAAGGCGCAAATGTTCTCTAGGATCAGCATTTGATTGAGAATCAAGACCGTAAGTTTTCACAGAGGAAACGCCTCTAGTGGCAGTTGTGTTAATCCTGCAATCATAACATTGTTGTATCTACTAAAATGACAATGTTTTAGATTGCAGGGCTGAAACTAAAAGGCCACTGCAACCAGTCCGCTGGTCTGCATGCCTTTAGTGGTCATGTGAGGGCTCTCCTCAATGAGTAAGAATGGACAGAATAGGAGTCACAGTAGAGCATACAAGTGGAGGATTCGTCTCCATACTTTTCTTTCAATTGTCTGTCAGGAGTTCCCAATTAATTTTTCCCGTCTGCTGTTTGGCCTTCTTTGGAATTGATTTTACTTATGAAATAAGGAAAAAAAAAATTGATTGGCAACTGAAAAAGATCTGCCCTTTGTCACAGTGTGTTGACCGCTATATATGCGAGACCTTTGTAGAAGCAGATTAGATAGAATATATTTTTTCATAACAGAGCTGCTTTAAATTCCACCCCGCAAGATGTTCAAGGAACCATCTAAGTCAGTGTTTGACAAATTCTAGGTGCCTGATCACCTCTAATTTTGTCCTGGCTATTTGGACAAAATATGCCAACCTGTTCCCTCATAGGCAGCCAGCTGAGGGAGAATGGCAACGTCAAGGGAGCTGCAATATTCAAGTTCTTCGTGCTCTGCTTCCTCACACGCCTTTGCGATGCTGGGAGCTGGATTATGACTTCATTCGTCTCCTGGCATTAGTAAACAGCACGTAAAGGAGCAGGACAAGAAGAGCAAAATGATGACAGGAGCAGATCAGCTTAATTGGACCCCACTGTGTCACTGTGTCTGTGCTTAGATCACCGCTCCCTCTGATCGCATGGGAAAGCTGTTTTTACTTATCTTTTTTACCACTCCGACGTTATGTCGGTCTTGTCGCGGCTGGCCTCGCCTCCACGGCAGAGATTATCAATCTTGATCTTGGCTAATGCAATGCTTTCCCATAGGAAAGCAACAGAAGGCTAATGAGCATGCGCGGCAAAATGCCATGCTGCGCCAATCAGCACCTCCTCATTGAGAATGAGTCAATGAATCTGTAAGGGGAACATTCACCGTCTCCTTACAGTGCGTGGAGATGCTTAACATCAGTACTGCACACTGTGCAGCACTGGACTAAGAATCACCTCTAGTGGCAGTCTGAGTGACTGCAATTAGGTGTTACTAGGCTGTAATGTAAACACTGCTTTTTCTCTGAAAAGGCAGTGTTAACATTGAAAAGCCCACAGGGACAGGCTATAGACACCAGAACCACTAAATTAATCTGTAGTGGTTGTGTTAACTATAGTGCGACTTTAAGAATTGTATTTCTGTCATTGAAAATAAAGCTTTGTTAGAAAAAAAAAACCAAAAAAAAAACAAAAAACACCTTTGCTCTTTTTAGGTGGCTTTTAGATTAAAAGTACAATGGTCAAGCCCTGCTTTAAAGGGACACTATAGTCACCAGAACAACTACAACTTAATGTAGTTGTTCATGTGAGTATAATCATTGCCCTCAGGCATTTTCAAAGGAAAGGCAGTGTTTACATTGCCCCTAGGGACACCTCCAAGTGGCCACTCCTCAGATGGCCCCTGGAGGTGCTTCCTGGCTCAGTGCTGCACAGTAGGGAGCAGTGCCGTTCAGCGTCTCCACGCTCTGCATGGGGGCGCTGAATTTTCCTCATAGAGGTGCATTGATTGGCCAATCCAATACCCATGGGGAAAGCATTGGATTGCTTATGGAATCTGTTCTGGTGAGTAGAATTATTACCCGCACTCTTTTTGCTGTAAACACTGTCTTTTCAGAGAAAATGCAGTGTTTACATTACATCCTAGTGATAACTTCACTGGCCACTCTTCAGATAGAGGTTAGAGATCATTCCTGGGTGATGGTTGCCTAACATGCATCCAAACATTCAGTGTCTCCTCTCTCTGCATGTAGACACTGAACTTTCCACATAGAGATTCATTTATTCATCTTTATGAGGAGATGCTGATTGGCCAGGGCTGTGTTCGAATTGTGCTGGCTCTGCCCCTGATCTGCCTCCTTGTCTGTCTCAGCCAATCCTATGGGGAAGCACTGTGATTGGACAAGGCCACCATTTAGGATTATGTCAGCAGACAGCTTGTTTTTTCTGAGGCAAACAGCATGCAGAGCTACAGCTTCAGGCTTGAATATAAGAAAGATTTTGCTATATTTATAGAGGCATAAGGGGCCTGGGGGGGGGAGGGCTAGATGGTAGTTTACATGTTTGTGTCCCTGACCCTATAGTGTTCCTTTGAACCATATTTGCTTACTTCAGGGGGAACCCAATCATCTAAATTGAAAAACACTAATTCCATTAGAGTGCACCAAATGAACATTACAGGAACAGCCTTTCCCTTTTGTGAACTGTACATAATTGTAGTAAGCAGCTTTTGGATTTGAAAAGTAGACATATGCAGCAATGTGTTTCAAGTGGTTTGAACTAATCAAATGCCCGTTAAGCTACACGCAAGCAAAATGATCTGTCAGGGGTAACCCATTTAATAAGACTTAACATGTAAAGCCTGTATGATCGATTTGTTGGGGTGTAAATTAAAAGTAATTTGATTAATTCAAAACACTTGATACTCATTAATGCACTATTCCAGTGAATAGCAAGAATCCTATCAAACATCAGTGGTCTGATTTAAATTATCGCCTTATTGGGACAGTGGTAAAAGGGCATCAGATCCAGCATCTAAGAGTGTGGTCATACTTCAGATCTGGACTCAACATTCATAGATGAAAATTAGACTGTACATTAAAATATTTGCCAGCTTAGGATTCTCCAGAAGTCTCAACATTTTAACACAAAAAGCATAACCAGACGGGACTAGATCAGGGGTCCTCAAACTACGGCCCGCCAGTGTCCTAAACCCAGGCCAAGCACTCAGGGCCACCCAATGGGCCCTATATGTTCAGGAGCCCGGTCAGTGCTGCGGCCGTGCAAGAGCGCGACCGGGCCCCTTTAAAAATGTGCAGCCGCAAAGTAGTGCTGGGAGGAAGTGGCCGTCACTTCCTCCCAGCTCCCTCTGCGCGGGAGGGAATAGAGACAGGCCGCGAGGACGGAAGAGCCACGCTGACTCCCATCAGCCACAGCCATCCTACTGCAAAAAAAGTAAGAAATTATTTCTGTGTATGAATATGTATGCATACAGGTCAGTATGGATTTGTGTCACTATGTATCTGTGTGTGTATTTGTGTCAGTGTGTGTGTGTGTGTGTCAGTGTGTGTGTGTGTGTGTCAGTGTGTGTGTGTGTGTGTCAGTGTGTGTGTGTGTGTGTCAGTGTGTGTGTGTGTCAGTGTGTGTGTGTGTCGGTGTGTGTGTGTGTGTGTGTGTGTGTGTCAGTGTGTGTGTGTGTGTGTCAGTGTGTGTGTGTCAGTGTGTGTGTGTGTCAGTGTGTGTGTGTCAGTGTGTGTCAGTGTGTGTGTCAGTGTGTGTGTGTGTGTGTGTGTCTGTGTGTGTGTCAGTGTGTGTGTTTCAATATGTATGCATGCATGTCAGTATGCATGTATGTCAGGATGTGTATTTCAATATGTATGCATGTATGTCTGTATGTGTATTTCAATATGTATGCATGTACGTCAGTATGTGTATTTCAATATGTATGCATGTATGTCAGTATGCATGTATGTCAGTATGCATGTATGTCTGTATGCATGTATGTCTGTATGTGTATTTCAATATGTATGCATGTATGTCAGTATGCATGTATGTCTGTATGTGTATTTCAATATGTATGCATGTATGTCAGTATGCATGTATGTCTGTATGTGTATTTCAATATGTATGCATGTATGTCAGTATGCATGTATGTCTGTATGTGTATTTCAATATGTATGCATGTATGTCTGTATGCATGTATGTCTGTATGTGTATTTCAATATGTATGCATGTATGTCTGTATGCATGTATGTCTGTATGTGTATTTCAATATGTATGCATGTATGTCTGTATGCATGTATGTCTGTATGTGTATTTCAATATGTATGCATGTATGTCAGTATGCATGTATGTCTGTATGTGTATTTCAATATGTATGCATGTATGTCAGTATGCATGTATGTCTGTATGTGTATTTCAATATGTATGCATGTATGTCAGTATGCATGTATGTCTGTATGTGTATTTCAATATGTATGCATGTATGTCAGTATGCATGTATGTCTGTATGTGTATTTCAATATGTATGCATGTATGTCAGTATGCATGTATGTCTATCTGTATGTATGTATTATGTATGTATGTGTCTGTATGTGTGTATCTATATGTCTATGTGTCTGTTTCACTATGTATAGGAATTTGTTTTAAAAAAATAAATAAATAAAAAATTGTAAAACTATAGTCCGGGCCCCCAGCAGTGTCTGAGGGACCGTGAACTGGCCCCATGTTTAAAAAGTTTGAGGACCCCTAGACTAGATGTTCCTATAACTTTAAGCACAGAAACCATAAGGACCATCTGGACTAACTTCAGTTAGACATTTTCTTGACTTTGTTTCCATTTCATAAATGGTTGTGCATTATAGTCCATTTTATTGTGTTATGTAAATTTAATATTTTGTTTTGCAGCACTACTAAACAATTCTCATATAACAATAGAATAGAGACACAGTAGAGGAGACACTGTGCACGTCCATATGCTTTTCACAAGGAAGCACTTAATCTATTGCTTTCCTTTGAGCTGCAGTTGATGACGTTGATCACCACATCACCGAGTGAAACTCTGGCGTTGCAGCTCTAATGGCTGTCTGGAAGATAGCCACTAAAAGTGTGTTTATCCCTGCAATGTAAACACTGCAGTTTCTACAGAACTGTGTTTTTTACATTGCAGGGTTAAGACTACAGGGACACTATATTGAGATTAAGTGGTCTGGGAGACTTTTGTGGTCCTCTCAGATATGCCTTTGGTAGTAATCTTCTGAAAGTACATGTTCTATAAATCTAATCTTGCATATTACTTTCTCTATTACAAGATTTTACTTTGCTGTGCAGGAGTCTTGAGTAATCTCATATTTGTTTACCTCAAGTTTATTTTCCTGTTACACTTGTAATACCAAATTATGCTCCCCATCCTTTCTACGAAATACACCACCACAAAATCCTTTGCAATGGGCATGTATAATGATGCATGTTGCTCTGTAACACATACACCTCTCATCCAGATTATAGCTGTAACAAAATGCAAATAAAAGTTTGACTAAAGCAGAGTTGTAACAGATCAGCTTTTATGCCTCCGTTTTTCCATTCTGATGCATTAAAATTCAGAAAGTTTATTGAATAATCCTGTCAACACCCAAGGCTCTAGGCAAGGGCCTTAATCTAAATTGTATTTTGTCAGGACAAGTAGATTGGCTACCACTTTATTGCCTTGGACAAGCCGATATTTAAAAAATTGCACATGCATGCACGTGTGTAATCTATATTTCATCCCCAGGTTTTTGTTTTTTTAACATATGCTAGACATGTTTGCAGGGAATATCTTTTTAGGGAGGAAGGGGGGCAGGGCACGCCTGTTTGCTGTAGTGGTTAAAGGACCACTATAGTGCCAGGAAAACACACTTGTTTTCCTGGCACTATAGTGCCCTGAGGGTGCCCCCACCCTCAGGGTCACCCTCCCGCCCGGCTCTGGAAGGGGGAAGGGGTAAAAACACCTTTTTCCAGCGCTGGGCAGGGAGCTCTCCTCTTCTCCTCCCATGCGGCTGAATGCGCACGCGCGGCAAGAGCTGCGCGCGCATTCAGCCGGTCACACAGGAAAGTATTCATAATGCTTTCCTATGGACGCTGGCGTGCTCTCACTGTGAAAATCACAGTGAGACGCACGCAAGCGCCTCTAGTGGCTGTCAATGAGACAGCCACTAGAGGAAATAGGGGAAGGCTTAACCCATTCACAAACATAGCAGTTTCTCTGAAACTGCTATGTTTATGAAAAAATGGGTTAACCCTAGAAGGACCTGGTACCCAGACCACTTCATTAAGCTGAAGTGGTCTGGGTGCCTAGAGTGGTCCTTTAAGGAGCTTTGAGTGTTCCATTAAAGGAACACTAACATCATTAATACACATGTGCTTTTATAACAGAATGTTCCTGTTGGCTTTAGATTACTGGGCCATCCCTTCACAAATTAAAAAAATTAAAGACAAGTTCACCTCTCATCTAGAGGAATCCTGGTCTCATGACAGCTGCTGCTCTTCCTTACTCTGAGATATTAGGTCAACCCAATCCTACTCCATAAAGAAGCATTGACGGTCCTACTGTGCACGTGCAGCAATTGCCACACTGCAACTATAGGATTGTAATCATAGAGAAAACTTACACTGAGTAGATTTAAAGGAACTCTATAGTTGCTCAGACAACTTAATCTCAGTGAATTTCTCTGGGTGCACGATCCCAGTTTTTGGGGGGTTTTTTTTACTCCAATGCTTACACTGCTGAGTTAAGCCCTCATGTAATGACTGTCAGCTTCTGCTGCACAGACCAAATAAAACGGTCACATGATGCAGCAGTCCCAGAGGAAAGCATTGATTCAGTGCTTTTCTATGGGAAAGGTTGAATGCACAAGCATTCTTTATGAGAAGCACTGTATTGGACCATCAAAGTGAAGGCCCTGCCTTCTCTCTGATGTCGCTGGGGGAGGAGGGATAAGCGAGAGAGCCTTTGTGCTGGGAAAAGGTAAATCCTTTTTTGTTTATTTAACATCTTTTTGCATGGAAGGGGGTGCCTACAAATAGAGTCAAAAATAATTTTTTATATTTATATTTTATGGTGTATTTAAATTTTAAGCTTTGTGGCGCTCTACTTATTTTCTAATTTTTATATTCTGTTTCACTGTGTTGAAGTATCCTTTTCTGGAGTCACAACATTTAGTGTGTAGCAGCATTTATAAAATTTGGTGGATACCACTTTTATTTAAAGATATATTACCTTTTATATCACTTCAAGGGAGACAGTTCCTTTTTACCCATTTTTCCTTCTCCTCTTGAATGCCTTTTTAGCGCTTTTTACAATAACCACTTTTTAAAAGAAACTTCATAGCATTAAGAATATAAATATATATTTATAACACTAGTGGTTCCTTCAACTGTGCTTGGCTTCATGATGCAAAATAAACCAATAAATAAAATTTGAAGGCATTCAAGGAGGAAGTGCCTCTAGTGGCTGTCCAAGTCAAATGTTAACATCTTTGAATTTGAATATAGGAGAGTTCCAAGTTTAGGCTTTTGTCATCTAATGTGCTTTATAAAATGGTCACTACAGATACATTGAGGATTGCTCTAACACTTTTGGATAATTTAAGAAAGCAGCATGGCCGCTCACACAGCATATTGAAGTAACACTTCTCAACCAATGAACACCATCTAAATAGGGATAGAATTTATATTACTAATTAAAAGTTAAACGTCTAGAACAGCAATGCCAAAGAGGGCCAGGTCCACAGGCACCCAGGGGACTCTATCTTAAACCAGTTGAATACAGTTTCTCATATAACCAGGGTGTAGAGTCAGAGGCATGCGGACAGCATAATTACTACAGCTGGCTGTATTGGTAATGGAACTTTCCCCAGAATTACACACCATCCTCAACTTAAAGCAGACCTGAACAACATGTGACCCGCAAAAAATGGGTCACATACTAAGGGGGTATTTGGTGCTACCTGGTGGGCAAGTGTAAGCAGGGGCCCAGTCGGTGTCATGCTGTCCTTTACCAGCACAACCAAGCTCTTTGCTTATTGGCAGCATTGGAGGAAGTGACAGCATATCACTTCCTCCCAGAGAGAGGAGCTGCGCAGGAGTGGGGAGGTGTCAGGCCAGGGGAGAGCCACAGCAGAGGAGCAGGCAGGAGAGGCGGGGTGCAGACAGCAAGAACCAGTCCCTAACTCAACATGCTCAGCCTGCAGACTGGACACCAGCAAATACATCCTCCATAACCCTCAAAAGGTAGGAAACTGGAGGGTGGCTCTAAAAGTGTATAATTTGACCTGCATGTGAGTGTGTGCGAGCACCTATTTTTTTTTTAACCTTTACTTGGAAAGTGAGGAACTAAAAACCTATCTGCTGCCAAGTTGTGCAGGTCTGTTTTAAAGCAAAACTGAAAATACCAAAACCCATTGCCTCTTAATGTAGTGATTTTGTGGGACAATTTAAAACTTTTTCAGGTAAACAACAATGTTTACATTTGGTTGAAAATGTTTTAGTTGTCGTTAGTGGCACTGTAGCTCCTCTATGGTTCTCTAGGAGAAGCACTGGATTGGACTACAGATCATCATTATCTCAAAGAGGAATGTGAAAGGTCAGGTTGCAGAGGGGAGACCATTTGGATTTATGATACATTTTTAGGACTTTTTTTATACACACTTACAAAGCATGGGCTTAACCTAAAACTATTAGAAAGAACACTAACATTACAAATATTTAACCCCTTAAGGACACAACTTGCAGAACAGAAACAGGCCTAATGTAGTCACTCCTATTACCCATAAAATCACAAACTGATGGATTTTATTACCAGCAGTGGTTATTCAGTGTGAATTTTTGGGAAATCAAAGTGAAATTTCCTTTTTTTTTTTTTTATAGTTGTGTATATAAACTTGCAGGTTGCCGTGTAGCATTGCAAAGCAAACTAGAAATACAATTAGAATCTGTTTAAAGCCATTGTTACTTGGAAAACAAAGTAGCTTACAAGGAATATCTACCATAGGTATCAGAACTAAACGTGCAATATTTGAGCAAAACATGCAATGTTCTACACCTCAAAAAAAAAAAAAAAAAAATTGAAATAAAACTAACAACGTGGCTAACATTTAGAATGGACAACCATGCTACTTCAGACAAATATGTACCCTTTGCAACTTAATACCTTACATGGGAAATATCACTTTAATAGCATTATTGGAACAGGAACATTGTCCCTGCCATTCAGCCTCAGCAAACCTTGCTCAAGGGATAGCTGTCAAGTAAAATATGCTCGATGCTGCAGGCAAGAGACAAGAACTGTTCAACCAATGCACGTTGAGAACATAAACAGAAATAATGAATACTGCAATGACCCAGAGGAAGCACAGGGTTTAAATCAGTGGTACTGCTGAGAAGACTGGCAATGTCTCAGTCAAAGTACCTTGCATTCTGTTTATAATTAAGGCTATATTTCTTCTTTACAAAATCCCTTCTGTTAACATAAGTGGAGATAGAGAATGGAGGTTACAAAAAATAAGGGATGCAAGCACCATGGCAGGTAAGATGCTTATTCCCAGGAGACTTATCAGTGACTCCAAGGTCACTTTCTACCAGGAACGCACAGAAGCATGTAGGAAATCCCTAGTGGATACAAGGGATGATCTAGGTTAGACGTGGATATACATATGCTGTGAACTCAATTTCCCAAGATGCTCTGCCAACTAAGCATCACTATGCAGTGCCAAATGTTAGTCTGGAGAACACAAGGCAAAAATGGGAGACGTTGATTAGAAAACACATAACCCTGCAGATAATAACCATAAACCTCACTTGTCTGTAAATGAAACACGACCTTCCCACACACCCCAGCAGGCAGGTACAGCCACTATCAGGGAGCCGGACATGGGCAGCATGACGGGGGTCACCCTCTCCATTTCTAAACCCACAGAGATGCTCAGGGAAAGGGTGACCCCCTCTAGCTCCGGTCACCAGGGAGGAGGAGCAGTGGGAGGGTGAGCGAAGGAGGTGGGGGGTTCAGGAGGACATATGTCCTATCCTCCCTCCCCTAGGGGGGCTGTCTGCACTCCAGCCTTGGGCTCATCACTTACCGCTCCCGCTCCATCACCACCCTCCTCCTCGGCCGCCGGTCCCGCCGCAGGTAGATGCCAGCCCGAGCGAGCGGTGACGGCTCCAGCGTCCTACCCACAATGGGCGGGTTCACACGGAGAGAAGTGGGTGGCCGTTAGTCCGAAGCCGACACAGGAAGTACGGGTCTTGTGTGGCTTATTTTGTGTGTTTTTGTGATGCCCGGCTCCCGGTGCCCTGCCTGTCCGCCCGCTGGGGTGCGAGGGAGCCGCGCTCAGGCCTGCTGGGGGAGGGGGAGAGCGAGGCCTGGCGGTGACTAGGCCCTGCGGCCTGCCTCTCTTACCTGTCCGCCGCCGCCGCCTTGGTCGCTGTCGTCGCCGCTGCCGTTGTTGCCGCCGCCGTGCTGCAGGTACTCGCTCTGACCGTCCACCTCCAGCGCCGACATCTCCTCTCTCTTTACCGGCTGCTCGGGAGCTGCGGACAAAGAAACACGGTGACAGGGGGCTGGGAGGAAGCGGGGAGCGCCATTACTGCAGCCTGGCGGGGTTCCTCTCACACGGTGTCAGTGAGCGGGGGCCCGGCCGCCGGGGAGCGGGGGATGGGAGGGAGCGCGGGAGACAGAGCGGGATACCTACCGGTCATTGTGTGTGTGGCAGGATCTACCCCCCCTCAACAGAAACACCCGAAATAATCCTCCAAAAAAAAAAAAAAAGGATCGTCCCCCCGGTGAGGGCTGCGGGCCGCGCTGGGGGTGGGTTAGACTCCTAACATGGCGGTTGTGTAATAATCGCGGGCGGGCTGCGGACGGAGAAGGACCAGGCGCGTTTTTTTTTTCCTATTTTGATTGACGGTGCGGGAAACACAAAAGGTGGGGCTTGCAGCCAGTACGGGGGACGTATGACGTCAGACGCACGGTAGGGCCCGCCCCTCTGCTTCCAGTGTATTGGTCGGCGGTGTAAGGAGGAAGCCGTGTGATTGGAGGACGCGGTTGTCGCTTGAGTTCAGTGTGTGAAGAGTGAATTTTTTTAAAGGGGGGGGGGGTGTACGCGGCTTCCTGTGAACCGTGCGTGACGTGCGCGCCCCCGCTGTCTCGCTCTCGCTCGCCGTGTGTTTACCATCGCAGACAATGAGCGGCGGCCTGGCTGCGCGGAGACATGGCTGCCCTCACACGAATGTACGCGGCTGCGGCCTACTCACCGCCACCCCGGGCCATGTATACCTTAAATAAAGCTGTAATGGCTGCTCCATGGCTAACCCAGCTCCATGATGGCGGGCACTGCGTGAACAGTGCTGGACTAACCGCTAGTATCATTTATATAGCGCCCACATAGTCCGCAGCGCTGTACAATTATAGAATAATAATAACAGCAGAGGAGGGCCATGATCAAATGGGCTAACAATAATTTTTTGTTTTATTTGGGTCTCATTGAGATTCAATTCCCTCATGTAGTAAATACAAAGTGTGTGTATGCAGGGCAGCAGTTTGTGTATCTGAACCTTAAGGGTGATGTGCTCAAGCTCTAATGGTGCTATCATGCTATATTAAAGAACCACAAAAAAAAAACATTGTGGCAACAGAATTTCTAGGAAATTGTTGATGATTTTAACCAAGTCTAATCATGGAAGTTGCTGGGGACATGTAGGAGCAGAGTGATCAAAGAGATGGAACTGTTTTATATAGATAGTATGTGGAAAGGAACACTCAGGCGCCATAAGAATGCAATTGAAATTAAGTTGTTATGGTACCAAGTGGTCTCTGGTGCCAGTTTACCTTTAGGGGTTATGCTGTTCACAAATGGTATATTCCCACAGTCCAGTATCCAGCACCCACTGCTCGGTTTCTTGAAAGAGATTGCCTTGGACAGGGTGCCAGTGATAGGCTGTTAATGTCAGCAGACGCTATAATCCAATCAGTATTTCCCCATTCACAAAATAGGTTATTAAAAATATGGGTATTTTCTGAAGTCGTTTAGTGAACAAGGAGCTACCAATTGGGTGAAAACCTTAGTTGATGCTCTCAGCCATTTAGCGGTGCCCCTGTCCAAGGCAATCTCCTTCAATAATTGTGAGCAGCGGAAGGACAATGGGTAGAATGGTTAGGTACTGGACTTTCTGGTTAAACCATTCACGAATGGTTTTAATCCCTAAAGGTAGGCCAGCGCATAGTACCTCATAGCACCATAATAACTTAATTTCAATGAACTTATAGTGCCAAGAGCAGACCCGGCTAGTTAGCTTTGTTTTGTTGCATGAGAATCAGAGCTGTGTGACATTTTCCTTTTAATTACTTATAGCTTTTATATATATATATATATATATATATATATATATTTTTTTTTTTTTTTTTGTAAGAGTGAAGCCTACTGTGGCCACTTGACGGCTCTATAAGCTTTCTTCTAGAAAGTGACAAGATAAGCACATATGCCCCTCTCAGGGTTATACTGCTTTATATGATGATGAATCCTACTATTGCAGAAGAAAAGTAGATGCTTCTGGACATCAAACTCTGTCAGAAGATATAAGAAAAAAACAGGGACTATTTTATCTTAAGTGCTGATTTTTAGCAAATGACAGCTACAAGCAGCTTTCTCCTCGTATTCTCTCCTATCAGCTGCCACTAGCATAAGCTTCCAACACTTGCATGTTTGTTATCTGACTTCACTTGTGATGTCATCATACATGTTAGCTTGGGGCAGTTCTTTTGGTATCCTAGAATAATTGCCTCATCTAATGAATGGATTCTTTACTGGTTGCCTCCCCCCCAACACCAAAGGCAAACTTCTCTTTTACCTCAGCAAGGCCAAGTTCCCCTTCAGCTCAATCCTCCTTGGCTGACATCACTTCACCTCAATGAAGAGGGAGGGATGTCCTGAAGGCCAGACTGAGGAGGGGGGCAGGGGTGGCATGCCACCATAAGCTGTCTGGCACCAGTATGTTGTGCATACTGCATCAGATAACAATTTTGCACAGAATGGGCGTGCTGGGCTCGCTATAATGTTGCTTGAAACACGGCACACACAGACTCCAGACTCAAATTGCTGAAGTGGTCATGGTGATTGGGGTAACTCTTTAAAGAGTCGCTGACACCCACCCACCCAAAATGAATATTTCGTAAAGATAAAATCTTTATGAAATACTAATTTTGACAGTGTTCGAATTTTACTGAAATTTAATCCCAGTCAAGAGAGAAACTGAGACAAAGTAGGCACTACTTTGTCTCAATATTTTTGGTATTCCTAGCACTTCTTGAGTGGAACTACTGCCGTCAAGCAGTGTTAACCCCTACAGCTGAAATGACTCTGGGAAATGACTCTGTCTATGGAGGATCTCTTTGGATCCTCCATAGACTTCAATGCTGTATTCTCGGGCACTGAAGCAAAAGGAGCTGCCGGGAAAAGATGTCACTGCCCACGAGTAGAACTCAACTTTCCCTGCCCCCACGGCCACTGGAGACTAATCGGCCATGTCACCGATGGGGTCATTTTAATATCAACACATGGGTAGGACTTATAAGGGTCTAATGCAGGTTGTCAGAATGCCATAACATCCTCTCTTTCTTTATCTAAGGTGAGTATTCCTTGGTCATGTAAAAGGAAACTGAATGGAGGATTTGCGTTACAATGCATTTACAAAGTAAGGAAAAAAGCTTTTCCCGTGGATCCAATTTACGTTCTGCAACTAAAGCTTCTACAACTGAGTACCTCCACCAGGTCCACTTCCAATCTTCTATCAGGGACCGTGGAGACTTTCAGACCCAGTCGCTGAGGCTTAACTGGGGTCACTGAAGACCTCTTCCACCCCAGTGAATATAGCTATATTAGAGAAGCTATTATAGTTTTTCTATAGCCTTTCCTCCACAAATTAGACAAGTCTCAATGCAGGAGGTAGAATCAATCTTCACTGCAAACAAATAGCTATTTATATTTACAGTGTTGGCTGTCCCTGCAAGGGGTCTTTCATACAATAGAATGTACTGCACAATTGTCCCTCTCTGGCGCCACTTGGTCTGGGGACTTAATCACATTACCCCATGCTAGCATAATTGGCTCCCTGCTGTGCACTTAGCACAGCATACAAAATGTCAGCCAGAACCCCCTTTCCCTGAACAGTACCTCATAAAATATATATCCCTTGAAAGCTCATCACCAAGTGCCCTTTCTGTCCAAATAGCGTCCTGATTGGAGAATCCGTGACTGAGAGCATGTTAACGTTTTAGCGGGTCGTGGCACGACAGTGGGTTCTAGGCGTGTGGCTGCTTATTCCCAGTCTCTGAAAAGGTGTTCACTCTCAAGCTCCAGGTATTCTTCAATGCCGCCCTGACACCCCCTCCTCATAGCACTCTATTTGAAAGTCAGGGGACTGAGCGATAGCCACTTGTCCCGATCCAAGGAACAGTTCCAGGGTGCTTTAGGGTATCTCCCTGTCAGGCGCTCTAGGCGTAGATTGAGTCCAGGCAATCCCCAGAGGTCTTCAGGTCCAGCTGAGAAGCATAATAAGCATCTTGGGCCCCCGTATTGACAGTAGCTCTTGGGACCTTCACGCCTCTTCAGAAGGCCGTCAAAGAAGATTCTGTCACAGCTTCATACTAGGAATTCCTGGGCTATCCCAACCAATCCTCAGCCATCCTTTCATTCAGAGGACGTCATCAACATGAATGAGCCCTCTAGGAGACCATTATTCCACTGTTAGCATCTCATTCAGGCAGCTGTTATATTGCCAGGACTGCATTGGCACCATCTCAGAAAATTTGTCAAACTGTTTTAGATTAGTTTGACATTTTATATGGGTTCTTGTGGCCACAAACCTGCTTCCAGGTTCTCCTTGCAGAAAAATCCAGTGAACTATCTGTCCAGTGTTAAAGTGCTTGTAATGGTTTAATACTAAACAAGAATCCCCAGTGGTTTGTCACCTCTGTGCTGCTTGGGCTAACCAGGATGCATTAGCCGGCCAGCAGTAATTGTGAGAGAGTGCCAGCTGACCACTTCCAGTCTATCACAGGCAACCATAGCTACGATAAGGGACAGACAATGGGCAGAAAGGAGTATTCATTTAGGTCGAAAATAGTTTAACACTGAATGGCAGGACAGCAAATGGTTATAGTGTCAAGAGCAGGGCTAGGCAACCTTCGGCACTCCAGATGTTGTGGACTTCATCTCCTGTGATTATTTTTGCCAGTATTATAGTTTTAAGAGCGTTGTGGGAGATGTAGTCCAAAACATCTGGAGTGCCGAAGGTTGCCTACCTCTGACCTAGAGTCTCTCTTTATCCTTCCCTGTAATCCAGTGCTGGGACAGCTTCCTCACAATAGCTGCTCCTCGCTGTGCCAGGTCTGTGCTTCTCACAGAAAAACAACGCACAGCAATTGTTAGACTCGTAGAGAAACCTTGAATCCATTGCTTCTCTATGAAAGTATTGGACACATTCAGTGTCATCATGCTGTGTGTGATGACACTAAATATGAAGACCTTCAATAATCAAAGGTTGCAAGTAGGAAGTTCCTATAGTGGATGTCAGACTAACAGCCAATAGACTAGAAATATGTTTTGGGGCAAATGTAATAATTTTCTCTCCCCCCAAAAATCATCACAACAGTAATGGAACAGCATTATGATGTATTGTATTTGATGCTTGAAATGAAAGAAATATGCTCACACAAGATAATGGAAGCTGTCTCCAGTTCTGTTCACTTGCATAAGCACTTTTATTTCATTGTTTTGGGGGGTTGGGAATTTTTTTAACAACGTACTACTAATCTTTATTTTACTGCACACACTAGGAAGAACTGTGCTATTAATGTAGAATTTGTGTTTCCTCTTTAACACAGAAATTGTTAAGAAAGGAACAACACCCTGTGGTGTGCATGGAATACCTTCTGCAAACAGCAGGGTGTGGTTTAGCGTGGAACCACACCAACGTGTTAAAGGGAACACTGCTGTTAACCAGTTTGCATTGAAAATCAATGAACGGGGGAAAGGGAAAATAACTTTCTATATTGCTACATTAACCTCAGAGCAGAGGGGAAGGGGGTAGAGCCAATGTGTGCTTTGTTTGTTTGTTTTTTACAAAAAAAATAATCAAATGTTGCTTAAAGGGAGACTTCACTGCCCAAATATAAATGAAAATCACCGTTTAGTAGATATATCCTCAATCAAAACTTGCATTCATGTAATTATGTATTTTCTCATTGGTGGTATATCTAAAAATCACTTGCGTAAGCTGCAGTTGTCAGGTCTGCTGCCTTTGCAAACCCTCCCCTTCTAACCCCGCCCAAACTTTCTGTAGCTGTCCAATCACAGACTTTCCAATGCATCTCAATGAGAAATCTTTAAAAGGCAGGTGCTCTGTGCAATTGCTGCCTCATGAGTTTAGCTCCACTGAGCTAACCAAACCAGGAAGTAACAGGATCATTTTTCTGCTTGAAAGCCAGGGGATGTAACCAGGTTAGTTTAGAAAAGTATAAATTTCTACTGAAATCTGCACTTTTTGTTATTATTACTTACCTTACTTAATTTAAAATTGTAATTATCCCCTGCTATGTTAATAGCTTGCTAGATCCTGCAAGACCCTCCTGTATGTGCTTAAAGTTTAATTTACAGAGCAAGAGATACAATTGTTTAAGGTAAAGTACATCTGATTGAAAGTAAAACCAGTTTGTTTTTTTTCATGCAGGCTGTCTCAATCATAGCCAGGGGAGGTGTGACAAGAAACAAAGTGATTTAACTCCTAAATGGCAGTGCATTGATCAGTAAAACCTGAGAGGCATGATCTATACACTAAAACTGCTTCATTAAGCTAAAGTTGTTTAGGTGACTATAGTGTTCCTTTAAGCTATTTCTGAACTTTAGTAAGATTATGAGCCTTGACAACATTTAAGCTTCTGAACCAACAATTGTTTGTAACCAAATGTTGTCCAACCAGTTTTAGCACTCCAAATTAAAGGGGCAACTGATACATAATACCTGCTTAGTTACAGCATTAAAATCAGCCAACTGTGCATAAAAAGCAGTGTGCATTGCTTAGTTGGAAACTGTTTTATAATGTAGGCATTTTTTGCTCATGCTGTAATTTCCAGACTGGCTGAAACACAGTTACTTGGATACATTGAGGTTCTCATATGATACAATCTCTGAATTCTAAAATACAGGCATTTCTCACTTTATGAACTCCCTCCTTTATGAACTTTTTCCTGAATGCGCCGCCATTTTGTTTCACCGCCATTTTGTGTCAGCGATCCATGGATCAGGACCAGGAAGTTTGCTTCTGAGCACAAACAAGAAGAGAAAAATAATAATTTGTGGCCAGGAGTTGACAAGAAGAGGATCAGGAACACAGTGTCACGTATTCATCTGCACATAAAAATGTGATTAATGGCATTTACTGTTCAGACAGGAAAAGTTGTGCCAAGCAGCAATCAATCCACAGGAGGGTTTGTACTGAGCAGCAATCATGTAAATAGGATCCTGGTAACTGCATTTGGGGGTCAAAGGCCGGTTACAACCAATCAGATCCACAGGCGGGGGTTTTCGGCCCAGCTCTCCTCTTGCTCTGTGCCCTGTCGTGTTTTCCCTTGTAGTTGTCCGAGAGCACGTTATTGATTCTGTTTTTTCTGGTTATTTGACTTTGGCATTGATATTGACTTCCCTGTTTTCTGGCATCCGTGACCCCTGGCTTTTCCTTATCGTTGTCTCTCTTTCTGTTTCCCTTGACCTTGGCTATTTCTGGCTATTCTTTGGTACGTTAGTCCGGCCATTCTAAGGTCCGGTATACGTTACCTATCAGTCCTCTGTGTTACACAATTCTACGTGCTGGATCATACTGTAATCCTGACACACCGTTCCTGAAGATATAGGCAAGTCTAAAAAACGTGTTTAGACTGTTCTGTAGTCTTACTGCACTTTCTTGGGCATACCTGTAATATTATTGCACTATTGTGTACTATTGAGAAGAGATTTTATTTGATTTCTCTTAGTGTTTCTGACATTGCTGTCTTTGTGTGTGTTTGCCATTGTGCCATCTGTTGGCAGGCATCATCAGTGAGGAGCAGGAGAAGAGCTGAAGAGCCTCAAGAACGGGGAGAAGGAAGAGCGTCTTAGAGTTAAAAATAAAACAAGTAAAAGAAAAGTGCTATAAAAGATGCAAGCTTGAAAGTAAGAGAGGAGAAGGAAGAGTGTTTGAGGAGAGCAGTGTAAAAAAAAAAAAAAAAAAAGGAAAAGGGATAAAGGACAAGGGGAAGTTGTTAAAGAAGAAAGTGAAAATGGGGAGAGGTGCCCCATTTTAAAAGTTCAGCATGTCTCTTTATTAAAGAGTATGAGGATTGATGAGCATTTAATTAAGATTTCAATACAGAATGTATTCCTTTAACGTTCCTACAACATGTGTATTTGCTATGCTTATCTTATATTTAGTATTTTTACTTCATAATTAAGGTTTTCAATGGTAACATTTGTTGATCAGGAACCCATGTTTATTACATTGTGTCTATGGTAAATTGGTTCTCACTTTATGAACGAGTCTTCGGAACCAATTAGTTCGTAAAGTTGGGAAATACCTGTTGTCACACAACCCATGGGGCCCCGGTGCGAAAACTGATCCGTGGCCCCTCCCCTCCCAGCTGCGACCCCTGCGACTGCAGTATGTACGCCAGTGCATGCAGATACACATACACTTAAAGGACCACTACAGACACCCAGATCACATCAGCTCAATGTAGTGGTCTGGATGCCAGGTCCCTCTAGTTTTAATCCTGCAGCTGAAAACATAGCAGTTTCAGAGAAACTGCTATGTTTCACTGAGGGTTAATCCAGCCTCTAGTGGCTGTCTCATTGACAGCCACTAGAGGAGCTTCTGCGATTCTCACTGTGAAAATCGCAGCGAGAAGATGCTGAACGTCCATAGGAAAGCATTGAGTAATGCTTTCCTATGGGCGGTTTGAATGCGCGCGGCTCTTGCCACGCATGCGCATTCTGAGCTGAGAGGCAGATCGGGGTGGAGAGATCCCCAGCGCCAAGGGAGTCTGGCGCTGGAGAAAGGTAAGTGCTTAAGATACACAAACACTCTCATGAACAGACGCATACACACTAGCAAACAGACACACACATTTACTGACAGACACACTCAGTGACAGACATACATACACACTCACTAACACACTCACTGACACGCACACACGTTTTTTTTAATCCCCTCTGCCTCCTTACCTTTGGGAGTGCTGAGGGGATTCCCTGGGATCCAGTGGTGCTCCCTCTTCAGCTCCCTCTTCAGCTCCCTCGCGTGCCGCGTACTGATACCAGAGCTGGAAGATAATGTCATCTTCCGGCTCTGTATCAGTGCAGTGCGCGAGGGAGCTGAAGAGGGAGCACACTGGGGAGAGTGCTCCCTCGCGTGCCCGCCAGCCGGGTGACACCAGGGCCAGCCTCGGGGGGCCCTGAGGTGGCCGGCTCCTGGGCCCCCCAGGAGAAGAGTCTGGCTACAGTGGGTACATACCGGGTCGCAGGGCGGCCGGGACCAGTCGCAGCTGCGATCCCGGTATGTACTCCACTGCCTGTAGTAGGTTCATTTCAAAATGGTTTGGATTATTGTATGATTTAAAGGTTTAACCAATATCATGTAGGTAAAATCCTACAAAATAAAGAAAAGGGAAATGTGTTGTCATTCTGTGCTATTATTGTCCTTCGTAACACCAATTATCTGTTTTACTACAAAATGCCCAAAATGTTCAATTTTTATTAGTAAATTGGTTTAATATTGAATTTTATTCAGTAAATTTACTTTATTTTGTGTATTTTTAGCAGAACTTGGAAAATGGGTTTGTTGGTTGCTCATGAATTATAGTTTGCCTGTTTTTTTTGTTTGTTTTTTTTTTAGTTGGGTTTTGAAATTATAGGAGTATTTAGTCTACTAACTGCAAATGTCAGATTAAAACTGGACTCCCAGAACCATTGTTTTCCCTCTTCCCTCAATTCATGACATGTAAAATTAGACACTTTTATATGTATTAAATCTAGCAAGTCCTAAACTTGTGTTTCTAGTAATAGACTAATAGAAGTGTAAGTCTGCCCCCCTTCTTAAAGACATTAAAGGAGAAATTAGACTCTCTTTTTATGTCCAAGATTCTAAGTAGACTGAGATCTCTTCACCAGAGAAACTGTTGGAGATGATGGGCGAGGAACTTACAGTCTTTAGTAACGTCTACTACATGCAGGGCCGGCGCTACCATAAGGCGGCCACCTTGGGGGCGCAATGTCAGGCTGATCGGCAGGAGAGAAGAGCAATGCGCTCCCCTCCAGCCGCTTACTTCCTGTAGCATGGCCGAGCACAGCCCAGAGCTTTGTCTCCTACTGCCCACCCAGCCTCTTACCCTACTGTCTACCACAGGCATGTGTGGATGGGGCGGGGATATGAATTACATCATATCCCTGCTCCCTGGTTACCACACAGCAGGGCTGGCACTCAGTGATGAGGCTGGGCTGCAAGACAGGACTCCCACAGTGGCGGACAGCATGCACCCCAGGGACCAGGTTGAACAGTTGTAAGTATGTAGTTGTGACTGTCTTTCTATGCATGTATGTATGTCTCTGTATGCCTATATATCTGTAAGGACATGAATGGGATGCTGCCCTGTGACAGCACTGTCCCTTTACATGTGGGAACCAACTTAGCAGAGAAATAATCCAAGGACACGACGAATGGAGCAATCAAGAAAATATGTATTAAAGAAAACCAAAAGGATATAATATACAAAAACAAAATGTGTACAATGCCACAAATATATATACACAAGAAATCAATATAAATACAAATAGAGCAGGCAGAGTAAACGTGATAGTCCTTAGGCAAAAGTAAAGTCCTTAGGCAGGATCGTGCAGCCACCACAGAATATAAGTGGGGCACGGATCCTAAACCACCAACCACCAAGCACTAAATAAAAAACACCAAAGAGCAAAGCCCAAAGCAGATCACACATAAATAAGGCAGCAAGGTCAGAATCACTGGGAATGAAGTATAGGCAGGAACACTGCAAGCGAACACTGGAACGGGAGGCACAGGACACAGGACCAAGCAGAGACGAGAACGTAGGACTATAAGGACATCGAAAAGGAACACAGGATCAGAATACACAGGATACAAGACACAGGAGCAAGGAGTCAGAATCACGGGAACCAGCAGGTACAGGATAAAGGATAATGATCTGACAGGGAGTGATGGGAGAAACCAGAATATATAGGTGCTAAACAAGGGCCAGGCGTAGTGCTTAACGAAAAGAAATGAGAAACAGTGCCAAACAGAAACAGTGGTGAGTGCGAGTACTGCACAAGGGCATATAAACTAGGGAGTTTCATGACAGTACTCCCCCCCCCCCCTTAAAGAGCAGCTCCTCGTGCTTCAAACCTCCAAAACCCCCTACAGGTGACAGAAGAGAACCCGAGTCACCCAACCAAGTGAGGAAAACAAGGAGAAGGCTTAGGAGGAATGACAAATGGAATGTCCCAAGGAAGAAACCAACGAGGCAGGGTAGGAGCATAGAAAAATAAGGACCATAGAGAATTATGATACACCAGGAGGATAGACACGTAAACAGAAATCAAGGATACATACGATAAGGAACTCACATTACCAGTGATTGACAAACATGTCATCCTACTAGACCTGGGGCTATCGCTAGAAACAGGAGCATCACTCAGAGGTCCTGGGTCTGACTTGGTTTCTGGCTTGTTAGTTCCTCGGAATAAAGGCAGCGGTGCAACTCTTGTAGAAGGGAGAACAGTCTCAGAGTTAGCTTGGGTAGGTGCCACTGGAATCAATTGAGAAGAATCCCCTAGATTAATGAGCACAGGATCAGGAGCACTCTGCGAACCCTCCTCCTCAGACCACAGAAATGCATCAAGGGACGGCTCCCCCAATCTCTGAGCATGAGGCCAGCTGAAGCAGGGACAACTCTCTCTCAAACTGATATAAATCTGTAACAGATAGAGATACCTGGTCACTTAGATCATTCTCTTCATGTGGAGTTTGGTTAAACTGCTGATTAGAAGAGTCTTGCAGCAGGGAAATTGTCCTACCAGGGCTTGTAATTTGAAGAACGGGGTTAGACTTGCCTATAACTGTAGATTCTTCTTCAGACTGTGGGTTCTGAACAAGTCCTGTCTCATTCAGATCCTTTCCTTGGGCTTGATCCATTTCGAGTTTGTCACGTTGCACCAAATCTGACTCTTTGATTTCCACTTGAGGATGACAGTCTTCTTTACTTGGTGTCAACTCATTTTTTACAGTTGCGGTTGTAAGAGAGGTGCCAATCCTCGAACCCCCAGAAGCAGAAGGGTTAGAATTGGAATCATCCAACCTCTCCACATCAAAGTCGTGAGCTGCCTTTGGAACGATAACCTCCTCTTCCACTGATTGCTCTGAAGCTTCCACCATAAGTTTCTCAGCCTTCTCAGACAGTGTTTTGGAAGAAGTATGTCGTTTCTTTTGACAGGAGGATCATCTTCTACGATATTAGCGTCCAACTTCAGTGGCCCAGCCTTGTCGTCAATTGCATCACCCGAAGCAACTTTTATAGGTGACTCTCCCAGTTTCGAGTCTCCAGTATTACATGACTCAGGAAGAGGTGTAGAAATTGAAACTTCTGATTCTATGGATTCAGTATTGTCCCTCGGAGCATGAACTGCATTGTCCTTTGCGGGACTGATATCCAGATCAGATCCAGTTACCTAGTCAAGGTTACTGGTGGTCTCCTCAATTGTCACTGTGATGGAGGAATTAGTTTCTCTGGTTGTTGTCTCAGGTGAGTCTGTTTCTGCTTCGTGGCTGGGCAGACTTTGCTTGAGACACTTTCTGACCAGACTAGTACCTTCCTGAACGGTGTCCAGATCGCTCATCTTGGTAGTCGGTATTCTCACTCTGGGAATAGGCAAGTGGATCTTTCAGAAAAGAGATGGTGGCATAATAGCACTGTGGGTCTCTGGTACCAAGACAATATTTGAAAACTGCGTACTGGTACTGCGTTCATGTTCAGGCTGCTCGTCATCCAGAGCTGCTATACAGCGAGCACTAATATCATCGAAGATCTGGTTCATGAGGGGATCGCCCGTGCTATACAACCGCTCCATATCGTCCTCTTCAGTTTGGGATGAAAAGCTTTCAGCTTTTAATTCGTGAGGAACTTCGGTTTTGCAGGCGGGAGGACCAACAAGCCATTTGTCCAAGTCAGAGTCAGGAGGATTAGTTATGCTATGTACATCGGAAAAGGGAATACTATCATCATTAACAGGCATAAAGACAGTCATTCTTTCTTGTACAAGATCAATAAGAAATTGAACTTCAGGTAATAAGGCAACAAAATTATTGTGCATTACTCTTGTTTCTGCAAATATGACAGATTTTTTTATGTGATATTTCTTTAAGAGAGATACGGATAAGTGTATACACCCTGCTAATCACAGGAGACTTTCTCAACCATTTATCGCAATCAGGTAACTGAGAAAGCAACGAGTCACATATATTTTTGTGAAAAGTTTGAAGTTCATTGATAAATCCATATAATACAGATTTCTGGATTTGACAGGAGACGTCTCTAGTAGGCAAACATAAATTAGAGGCCTTTACAACAAGTCTTAATGAGAGCATATTCTTGCTGTGAATCAGCGTTAATTCCAACAATGTTATCCATCGTGATCCTAGACATTATTCTCTGCTGGTTCCAAGTGGTCAGATCATTCTGTAAGGACAGCACTGTCCCTTTAAATGTGGGAACCAACTTAGCAGAGAAATAATGCAAGAACATGATGAATGGAGCAATCAAGAAAATATGTATTAAAGAAAACCAAAGGATATAATATACAAAAACAAAATATGTACAATGCCACAAATATATATACACAATAAATCAATATAAATACAAATAGAGCAGGCAGAGAACACGTGATAGTCCTTAGGGAAAAGTAAAGTCCTTAGGCAGGATTGTGCAACCACCACAGAATATAAGTGGGGCACGGACAGTGGCGTGCACATGACCCATGGGGCCCTGGTGTGAAAATTGATCCGTGGGCCCCCCTCCACCGCCCACGCTTACTCTGCGTGGGCCGGGGCCGCAACACATGGCGGCGGGCACCTGGTCGCAGGGGTTGCATGGCTGCAACCCCTGCGACCGCAGTATGTACGCCAGTGCATGCAGATGCACACACACTTAAAGGACCACAGACACCCAGATCACATCAACTCAATGAAGTGGTCTGGTTGTCAGGTCCCTCTAGTTTAAACCCTGCAGCTGAAAACATAGCAGTTTCAGAGCAACTGCTATGTTTCACTGAGGGTTAATCCAGCTTCCGCGATTCTAAGACACTGAATGTCCATAGGAAAGCATTGAGTAATGCTTTCCTATGGGCAGTTTGAATGCGCAAGCGGCTCTTGCCGTGCATGCACATTCGGAGCTGAGAGGCGGAGGGATCCCCGGCGCTGGAGAAAGGTAAGTGCTGAAGACACACACACTCTCACGAACAGGCACATACACACTAGCTAACAGACACACACATTTACTGACAGAGACACACTCAGCGACAGACATACACACACATACACACTCACTTACAAAACACACTCTCATTGACAAACACACACTCACTAACAGACCAAACAGACTCACTAACACACACACAAACACACTCAGTAACACACTCACTGACACTCACTAGCAGACACACACACACAC